GCATCTGATCCAGGGCAACGTCGCGATCGGATTTAGTGTGGCTCAAACGATCGCATTCAGTGCATCTAGCGGCAAAGACTTCTTGGTGTTGGCCCAATTTTGGCCTGAAGTGCCGCGACACGCTCAATAAAATGGCGGAGCTTGCCTTGGATGTGGATGTCGGCCTTCTTATAGTATACTTTCTTATTTTGGGCCTTGCGAAGGCGATCGAGTAGCGTGTCGAATTGAGCCACGAGACGGTCCCCCGGATCGTCCAACTGCTTTCTGATAACGGCGATCTTACGATTGGCCTTACCTAGAGCGATGTGACTTGCATGTACGGCCTGGAGATATTAGCTTTAAGTGTGTGATCACGGCAGTCTGACCGACCCGCGTTCAGCCGACGTCTCCCTAAAGGCTTCTGACTGCTCGACCTTTTCTTCATATTGAGAGCGCAAGCAACCACAAATTTTTTGGACGTACTCTGCTATCGGAGACGCGGAGGCACACAGCACCTGTAGAATCCTCTTGGGCTGGACATCTTAAGAAATGTACCAACATGGTATCAATATGCTCTGATATCAGCTCACGATCTCCAGCTAAAGATAAAGGTCCAGACGGAGGTAAAAAGAATTGATCGCATCGTCCAAAGTCGCGCGACTGACATAACTGCTACTATTACGCGGGTAATTAGGAGTTGGATAGGCTCACTCGGACTGGATTGGGATGTCGTTTGTAGCCGTGGTGGTATTCGGGGTCAGGATGGAAGACGATACAGCTGGACGTATTGAAGTTGGACTCCCACAGACGGTCCCACCCATGTTAATAAGAGTCGTGACAACCGAGGGAGTAAACTATTTCTACGGCAAGGTGGGGCTTCATAGAGGGCAAAGCTGGCAGCGTTTTCAGCTTCAACCTCCAAAGTTGGGATTGCTGCGGGTGATCCGAGGGGTACCAATCCCGAGTCGTGAGTGTAAGCGAGATTTGGAGGAAAGTGATCGGCACTTGGAGGAAGAAGAAGAAAGTGATATTTTGGAACGTTAATATAAGTCACAAAGTTTGCTCATCCAGATTGATACCGAATGTTGACTGACAGTGCAGAAGACGATTGCAGTAAAGTGGTCACAAGAAATTTTACAGAAGCGTTGCAGTTGGGACTGCATGTATCGTACGCGTCATTGAAGTCAAAATTGGATCTGATTAATGCATGCAATCTGAGACTATTGGATTGAGAATACGAGCACAAACCAAAGTGATTTGGATTGGAGCAAGTTGCAAGAAGGCCGAATGTAAGGCATGACGTGATAGGGCTTGCAATCGCGACCCCTGCCTCAAGACGGCGATTTCGACTTACGATCGCGGTACCGACCTGAAATGAAGATACTTGACTTACAATTACGATCCTCGACTTGCGACCGCGATCCATGATCGAGCTGCTGTGGTATCCGATGTAAATCACACGAAATTTCCGACTGTTGGTGTATCAGTCCTGGGCCACACAAATACGAGAGAGATCAATTTTCATGACAAGGCGACGTGTGGCACCCGCTTCTGAGATACAGACAAGCACAGTATTATATTTTTGGGCTCGATTGGATGACCTTAAACGGAGTTTAATTTGCTTCAAAAGACACGCTTTATATCTTCCGGAAACGATATTTGGTCTCCCGACGTCCAAAGAGTAACATTTACTATTCCAAGTACATCACTCCTAGATTATTTAGTCAGTAATGCAAGAACTCTAACCCACCCCCGACTGTGATTGGAAGCAATGAACCCTAATGTGTCAGTGTGGTATTATGGTTTGATATATACATACATATATATACATATATATACATGTATATGTAGCAATGCAGCTTTAAACGCACAAACACAACAATCGACGAGTTGGTACAGCGAAACGGTCTAGTACTTCAGAATAAATACCTTCGCAATTTGCCCCTTCGGGTTCAGCTGTAGCTTTCTCCCAACAGATTTATCACAAACTATTCCTCCTAAAAACTGCCTGAGCTTGGCATCTTCTACAACTCACACTCCTATCACTCACACGAATGGGTGGATGTCGACGTTTTCACGCATTTACAGATCACCGGGTGCAGTACGCACCCGACTAGAAGGCCTACTGTCTCGTCGCTCGAAGAGTCTTGAAGAAGTTCCGGCTATTGGGTCGCTGTCTTATCGCCCAACAAGAATCAAAACGGTGCCCGTACATTGGGCAACCGGCTTGCCGTGCGAAGAGACTCAAAAATGCGTCATCTATTGTACCATAGGCTCGTCGCTCGACGAGTCTAAAAGCATTTACACTTATCGGGTCACTGGTTTACTGATGGACAAGTCTTTGGCGGTACCATATTTTGGGCTGACCGGATCGTCGTCGACGAGGCTTTAGCAGTACCATATATTGAGCTTACCTTATCGCCACTCAACGAGGCTTTATTGGTACCATCTGTTTTGTTTATTGTCTTGTCACTCGACGAGGCTTTAGCGGTACCATCGATGGAGTTAATAGTCTCGCCGTGCGACAAGACTGATTTTTTGCTCGAAGCGAGCAATACCCATCCCAAGTCAACTTGAGCTATCGGCGCTTCCAGTCGAAACCTCTACAAGATATGCCTCTCGAGGTTCAACGGCAGGCATGATTCAACCCATGCAAGGACTCATCGGAAGATTGTACGCTTTACCAGGACTCAGATAAATTCTGCTCTGTATATAATGATGTATTTATCTGCCTGAGGGAGCCTATTGGATGCCTCCCCTAACCTCCCATATAATTTTGTTACCTAGTGAGCTGGACGGTCGATCTCCAGCTGCTTTGCTGAATTTGAACTCAACGAGACTAAACTTGATGAGAATTAGCTCGACAAATTTCGACTTTCATAATCAGCCAATGGGAGAGATATCGAGTCAAAAAATCCCTACACCACATCAGGTACAAGATCGTGAGACGGCTTTTGTGGTCAGCAAGATCGCAAATCAAGTATCGACATTTTGGACAAAGTGATCTCAATGGAGGTCCGGTCAGCTCAACCAGAGTCCCCCAAGAAAACCTCGATGGCATGCAGTTTCCGCGCAATCGACCCCAATCTCACACACAGCCAAGATTGGCATCGACTCAAGTCCACCGAGAAAGTGCAACTCACCCTACAGACGGCTGTACAATGTGAGGAAGGAATACATCTACACGGAATCGAGGTACTTCCTATGTTAGTCGATCGTCTTGGCGCCAGCGGAGAGTCGAGATCACATCATCAATTTTGTGAATCTACTCCACCACAAAAGCAAGCCCACGTGCAATACAGTCAATATAGTGTGCGATACGGCCGTGGTGTACATTGGGCTTGTTGCTATATTTAAATTAGGCAGAGCAGGCATCTACTATTACATTGCCTGATTCGAAGAGGACTGGTGATGACTTAAACACACAACCGTCAATCTACCGGATACACTTCATCTCCACCTCAATATACAATTAGTCGATCAAGACGCAATGTACTCGGCTATTGGTGGATAGCATTTCAGTTAACCCTTCAAGATTCCCATCGTTTACTTGCTGCTTTTCTATTGCCTCGCGCTCAAGTTCTTTCACATATTGTTCACCACTTTAATCCTCTTATCGTCTTCACTGGCCGTAGCGGTCGACAGGATGGTCATATGTTCTCATTATTACGTACCATTTGACTTCATCGACTGCACATTCTGCTTTTCAGATGCACGCACGAAACGTGAACATGAAATGTGATAAAACGACCTAAAATCACAAGAGCCAATCTTGTCGAGTGAGTACATACATATCTACTCGGGGTAGCAGCGCCTGAGACTTTCCCAGTTCAATCTCATTTTGCGTAGTTGTCGCCTTATTGACAGAACTACCCGCGACGGAGCGGCAAGGTAACAGTGACCGGCTGATCATCTTATTTGATCATACACCGCATCATCCAATCCGTAACCGCTAGAGAGATCCAAAATGGAATGTGAACATGAAGAACTTGATTTAAGTCCTTGGAGTGAATAGCGTATACAAGGTGAGCTGAAGAGCTTAGTCCCCTGTCTTTGTGATATTGACCATAGGCAGAAATGACCACAAATTCTTTATTTGGTGTCCTGATACCCATAAGCCTGACCCGTAGGACCCGTAGGAGTGGAATTAGTGATTTCAGGGAGTGGAAGAACGATTCCCACGTTCTAAGAAGGAAACTACGGCAAGGCACTTCAGGAAGCGCCGCCAAACATAAACGTACGGTCATCGTAGTCTGAGGACGAGACGACACATGCGTCAAATGTCCAGAAGCACCGACTGTCGTTCATCTCTTGGTATGTGGCAGTCAAACGTGTTGGTAGTAGAAGATGTCCTCCTGAACGAGGCACGCTGTAGTCAACGATATGGGAGTCAGTGTCAGAGAAGAAGACCACCAACGATACATCGAGTTATTTCAGGCTGTTTACAGCAGTGTTTGAGATAATATGGAGGCGCATGTCATTTAGCATTCGAGGTAGATGCTGTGTTCTATCTGCATAACGGCAATATGGACGCAGAGATACCGAGTTGTTCATGAGCAGAGAATAGTAGGGGACAATGTGGAACGTAGGGTGTGTGTGTGTGTGCGCAAACAATAGACTTGCACTGGTACAAACGCCTCGAATTGTTTAGGCATGGTTGAAAAACAGAGGGTGGGTGTCCCCTCGAGGCTGCTAAAAAGGCTCGAAGTCACTCTGATCATCAAGTGTACTGGCTTGTAGAGAGCAAGGAAGGTGTTATCTCAGCAGAGCGTGATAACAGCCACGTTGTCAAACAATCACTTGAATCGATGTATGGGAGCATATGAGTGTGTACGTGAGTATCGAAGCCATCCAGTCGTTGTTTTATCGTCTCCGCATCACGCAGCGCAAAGAAAAGCAGGCGAAAGAAGCAACAAATGCTACATGTATTGGGGTGGCCGATCACCGGGATGGTCAGCTTACAGGTAAAGAAAGTCGTGTCCTAGCTTGTGCCATTCTGCTTGATGGCCGTGACTAATTCTTCATTCGGAACGCTCGCAGACCGCCATGGGAGGACACGGCGTCGTGAAGCACTGTACTTGTTGTACATCACACTCATATCCCGCACGACAACGCACAGCGGCGCATAGACTGTCGCAGTACATCGAGTTGTTTGCCCAATCGAACATGCACATCTCGTCGTCCGGGCACCACTTGATACACTCTGCATCTTCAGGAATGCAGGTAGGAATGGGGTTGCACTGCGCTGCATTGATGCACAGGGGCATTTGCAGTCGGCAAGCTCGACCTTCGCCGCACTTGAGGTTGCATGCAACCGCTTCTTGAGTGGCGTCAGTGTTGGCGAGTGCCATCACCACGAGCGACGCAACTATGGTAGCAATGTGCATAGTGTCTTGGGTTCTTTCTTGGACTCTTTCTTGACGAAGCGAAAGCGATAATGAGAAGCGATAACGAACTTGGTGAGGGCAGGAGGCGAGGGGTCGCACTCTTTCATCCACGACAGCCTAAACGCTTCCCACGATGGCAGCTACAGCCAAGGGTCGGAAAACCAGCCAGCCCAACGGGTGCTGCGGGACAGCGACTGTCTCCAAAGAAACTCGACCGGCTAAAGTTTGATGGACCAACAGACGAAGGTATTCAATCAGTTGTTTTGATCTACAGCATATTAAGCTGGTCGACTCCAGCTGCGTCGATCGAACTTGCGTATTCGTGTGCACTGCTCTTCCTACTACTGATGCATTCATTTTTCAATCGTTGTTGCACATTACATGATACGTAGATGTTTGAGCCGCTGAGAAGCCGGACAGCAGAGTCTTTGAGTAACGACTTTGATGCAGACCACGCACATCTTCCGTGATCGAAACTGCCTCCTAAGGCTCCGTGCCCCAACCAGTCAAGCGTCATGTGATGTAGAACCTGTACAGTCGCTTGACGCCGCAAGGCTGTCTGGATGGACTGATTTGGCGTAACTGCAGACAGCCGCGCGATCACTATGGTGATAGCAGCGAAGGAGCTTTTGGCTTGACTTGAAGATTGTACTGACGGCATAGTCCCCGTTACGACAACGCTTACATCGAGTCGAAAATTTTGGATAGCAAAGTCTGAATGGAAGACAAGTGCTGCTTTTCAGTGACGAGCTTTTCTCAGTTACTAGAAGACGGAACTGTCCTTCGAGGTCATACATGGCCTCAGAATGTCCAGGATCAGCAGCCTCCGGCGACAGAAGGTAACTTCAATATGATCAATATAAGCGCCCGTACTGATTGCAGCTGCTGGTTCATCCAATACACTTGTGCAGCACTTTTGACGTCCAATTGCCCTAACTGATCCCTAATCTGCCGTTCCGATGTCAGTGCTACGTTCAACATAGCCACTGCTTGGCTGATTGAGTTTCGACGTCTGCTGCGTGCATTGTACAAACGTCCACCTCTCTAGAGGCGTTTGATGGTAAAGCCACTGTCAGGTATGCATCAGGTGGATAGCAAAGGCGCTGCACAACGTACTATCTCGACCACCGTCCTCAGGCGCCAGTCGCTTTTGCTTGATTCAGTGTACAAAGGTCTCCAGCTTTCCTGTACACTATACCTCTACTTCAAAAGTTGCTACTCGGCGCATCAGTTTCTGCTCCCAGCAGCTGTGTACTCTTCTTTCTAGGCTGCTGTACACAATACAATCAAAAACTCTGAGCTTTTCCGCTGACACCTCCGTGATATCTCATGTAACTCTGCAGCGCTATTCCTTCTAGCCGCCAACACCGTTGCCGCGACGCCTGCTAGCTCGACAAACGCCCGTCCCCTCTATCGATGATAAGAGTCACACTTCCTCCCTTCTGGTAATCCTGCGTACATACAACCACGTATTCAAGAGACCACTAGTCGTCGGCCAGGGTATCCTCGGAGTTTCCAATGGCGGCAGCAATATTCCCAGTGCGAACAACGGTCATCGTCCTTTTATCATCATTGCAGCTGCACAGCAGCTCAAATCGCGCTGGAATCGCTCAACTATCGATCACTGCATGTGCGGTACAAGCGACAACCTTTGTAACTAAACCTCTTCTTTGACTCTACGCATCGCCATTTCACGTTCTCAGGTGCCTTCTTGACTGGCGGCACCTCATAGTTAATCACGAAGCGGCACAATCGTCTATTGTACGCCGATCCAGCAAACGAGTTGTAGAGGTTTCTAACACCAAAAGATGCTCGCCAAGCGAATGTCGTAAAAGCCAGCGATAGTCGGAATAAATAGGCGACATTCAAATAGCTAAGGACCCATATATGTCGAGAGGACACCCATAAATAGATACACTAGACCCATTTTATTTGACTCTTTTTTTCATTTGCTGATCGTTAACAGACAACATGGCGTCCGAGCTCTTAACCCGCGTGGAGAAATGGGCTGCTGAGACGCCCACGAAGGTGCGTGTAACCCTGAACGATGTACTGTCTGCTAGTTACAATGTAGAGTACCTTGTGTACCCACCTACCTGGGGGTTACCGCTCTGGTTGTAAAAATAACGAGAGAGAGAGAGAGAGCGTCCTTTTGATCTCTGTATAGTACTATCGTTATGTTGATCCCCCTATTTTGTCATACTTTTGCAAAAAAGCTGTCAACTTATTCTTTTTATCTATGTTCTGTGTTTACAGACCATGCTTTCATTTGCAGACGATAAAGGAGTCGTGACGACGTCGCTGACATGCGGGGTAGGCACTTTTTTTGTTTTGCTTGTCTCCTTCTCCTTCGTGTATCGCTGCAGCTAGATGCACGTTATCTAAAAAGTGTTTTTTATATAATTCGGTCGGACTGGCTACACCTTTGTTTCGGCCCTTGCATTGGTTATAGGACCTGAACCGACGGGTACAAAACCTTGCGGCGTTACTAGTCGCTTCGACACAACGGCACCATCGCGGGTACGACGAGCTATTTTTTTTGTTTTTACTTGTTCATTACCAGACTCTTGGTCTCACTTTCAACTCGTGTTTTTGCATGTGTTCTTGTGTGTGTGAGGTAGACTCGGGTTAAAAGCAGGAGATCGGGTGGTGCTCGTCTACCCTCCAGGCTTGGATTTCATTGTGGTGTTCCTGGCCTGCTTGAGAGCTGGGGTTGTGGCGGTGCCCGTGTACCCTCCAGATCCCCGCAAGATGAAGAAAGATCTCAGCATGTTTGTGACAGTGACGCAGAACTGCCGAGCGCAGGTGGCGCTCACGTGCTCGATGTACTATAACGTGAAGAAGATTGCAGCGATGAGAGAGAAGTTTACGGGTTCGGGGGCTGTCCAGTGGCCGGCACATTTGTCGTGGATTGTGACGGATGATTTGGTAAATGCCAAGGGCATCGATCCAGCAAAGCTCTGGCTCACGCACTTGCCTTCTGCTGACAGCACGGCGTTCCTGCAGTACACGTCGGGGTCGACGTCTGCACCAAAAGGGGTGGTACTGTCGCATGGCAACTTGAACCACAACCTGCGGACGATCAGCTCAGCGCTTCAGGCTGGACGAGACACGGTAGTGGTGTCGTGGCTGCCTCAATACCATGACATGGGACTTATTGGTGCCTACCTGGGCACCATTTACAATGGCGGGACGGGCGTGTACCTCTCCCCTTTCAGCTTTATTCGCGACCCGTGTCTGTGGCTACGACTTGTGTCCAGGTATCGGGCTACACACTTGCAGGCCCCTAACTTCGCCTATTCCCTTCTCGCAAGGAAGAGTGATCGACTCACAAGACTGGGCAACGGAGATCACATCGATCTTTCTAGTGTGCGGCATATGATTGACGGTGCTGAGCCTATTCAAGGCGAGACCATCGACAGCTTTTACCGCGCTTTTTCGCCGTTCGGTTTGCCAGCCGACGTTGTAAAGCCTACGTACGGGCTCGCAGAGCACACTGTATACGTGTGCGGTGGCGGAAAACAACGTTTGTGGGTTGACAAGCGTGCCCTCGAGAGTGATAATGTTTTTCGAGTGGTCGAGAAGGAGAATGCAGCTGGACCGGTGAAAGAGATTGTTGGCTGTGGTGTGCCATCGCGGAGAGACTATGGCATCGACGTACGTATTGTTGACGCAGAAACAAGGAAAGAGAAGGCAGATGGCATGATTGGCGAGATCTGGATTTCTAGTGCCTCAAAAGCGCAAGGGTATTTTGGTGAGGAGATGCGTGAAGTCTCAGCTGAAGCGTTCCAGGCCGAGGTAGTCGGTGACACCGACGGTAGACTATACTTGAAGACCGGTGATTTGGGTGTGCTATACAACCAAGAACTCTTTGTCTGCGGTCGTATGAAGGACTTGGTTATCATCAGAGGTCGCAACCACTATCCGCAAGACATCGAGGCCACAGCGGAAGATTTTGAAGAACTTCGACCAGGTTGCTGTGCCGCATTCTCGTATGTAGCTGATGGAAGTGATGACGAAGAGAAGCTGGCTGTGGTTGCTGAGCTTCGTGATCCTGCTATGATCAGTAAAGCGAGTCTATGTGTAAACATTCGTAGCGCGATCGCACGTGAGCATGGCGTCAAGGTGACTTTGGTTGTGTCGTTGGCTCCTCGCACGATCCCGAAGACGACAAGTGGCAAAATCTCTCGATCACGGTGCAAGAAGGCGCTGAAAGATAAGCAGTTGGAAGAAGTGTACCGCAATGAAGATATTGTGGCTGAAGCACCAGTGGAGGATGATGGTGGAGCTGCAGCTGACGAATCTATGGACCGAAATGTTATCAATTCTCGGATGCAGCCGAACAATGGTGCGACGTCAGCTTTGCCGTCGGTGATCGTGGGTGTGCCGCCAGACCAAGTCCGCATATTTTTGGTGAACGAACTCGCTCGTGCTCTGGGTGTAGACGTCGCTGATATCCACGACAACACGCCACTGCAGGAGCTAGGTCTGGACTCGATGGCATTGACGCAACTGCAAGGTGTGATTACGCAAAAGTATCATGTGCATGTCGAGGACGAATTGCTCTATGGTGAGTCGACGACGCTTGCGAGTTTGCATGATGGGCTATGTGGAGGTGTATCTCGTAACGGGACTGGTGCGAGCGCTACTCCAAAGCGAAAGGTGTTGTGTGGATGCATCACCTGCTAGGACGACCGACGACTATGTCCACAACGTGTACGGTGCATATGTAGCTCTGTCATTTGTATTTTATTTACTGCATGTCAATTGGTAATGAAGGAATGGATCAGGTGCAGGTGTGCCGCTAGATGATGAGGAACAAATGCTTTTAATTACAAGACAACTCCGAGGTGACACTTGCGAGTTGAGCTGTAGCGCTGCAACGTCCAAGTCTCAGCACTCTCAAGTCAACGCACGACACTGCAATCGGACAGAAAAGTGAATGGGCGTCGTGGTCTTTTCGCTCAGTCAATGTACTCGATAGAAGTCGAAGACGGTGGCAGAGCAAGTCGATCCTTGTCGCTCAAGCTTTTCGGTGGCTGCCTTTGGTCGGCGTGACGCTGCGCTTGCGCAGGATGAACCTGTCTGCTGTATCCCTGCTGCTGCTCCATGATCTTCTTGCCTTCAATAAACATCGAGCGCAACAACGCCTGCTGAGCTGCGATTTGCTCCTCCATTTTCGTGAAAGACGTGGGCAACGGCGTAACGTGTAGCACGTCACTAGGCTCCTCGAGTAACACAACCGCGTCGCCTGCAATCGGGTCACGATCCGTCCGGCGGCTCATCAGGTCAGAAGTACTGTCACAGTCGCTCTGCGAACTGATGCTAGTCGTGCAACCAGAAGCATCTGAATTAAGTCGTCGCCGGTCGTCAAATCCCCGGCGCATGCTGCGAGGCGTGCAAGCCCCAGCATCCAAGACGTTCCTACTAGAGCTAGCGGATGTAAGCGTGACGAGCGACTGCCCTTTGGCACACTCTGCTGACTTTTCACGGTTGATTGCAGAAAGAACTTTGGTGGACCAGCCTGCAAACGAGATGCCGGACTTGTCGCCATTCGTACCGCTGTGTGAGCTCGTAGACGAAGACGAAGAAGCGAGCGAGTGATTCTGCTGCGGCTGTAGCTCCCTTTCGACCGCATGATCCAAGATCGATCCTCCAGCAGGCGACACCTCGCTGTAGTCGATCTCACTATCACGAGAGGCGTACGAAATGGGCACCTCGTTGTCAAAAACGTCGTCCAAAGCGAGGTCAATCATCCCGGCACTCTTTGCTGCAAGTGCGGTGCGTCGATCCTGTCTGGACCTGTTGATACACTTGAGACAGAACTTCTCGACACTGACAATCAAGCCATTGCCCGTCTCGGGCAGCATTCCCAATGGAAGCTTGCTGGCTTGAATCCCAAGCTCGATCGTGCAAGCCCCGCACATTATTTCAGCACAAACGCGACAATGGTGACGCGAACGCAGCAAGTTGAAGCTCTTGAAGCAGACAAAACACGCCGGGCGCTCGTTGTTCGGTACCCACGGTTTGTTCGTAATCATGCGGCTACGCACGAGGAACTTGGCATCAGCAACCGTAGCGTGATTAATTGCAGCCGTATGCAATGTGGACAAGACACGGTTCGCAACCCAGCTCGGCGTCGTGCGGGTGCTGCTGTCAAAGTGGTCTTCCGTGATCGCTGACACGTCCACTTTGCCGCTCATAGGACCCATGCCACGAAACAGCCACACCCACGTTCCCGTCGTGCGGGCGAAGCCAAAACTGCGTTCGCTCCCACCGCACTCGGTCATGCTAATGCTCTTCTGGATCTTCACGAGCACCTTGTGACCATTCGCGTCCATCATAGTCTTGGCAAACTCCACCACGAGCGCATCCCGACAGCTAAACACCGAGTCCACCGAGCTCTGGAAAGCAAGCCACTTGATCCCCACAAAGTGGAACGCGTCGTCACACGTTGCACGTTCGTGCACTTGCAGCACGGCCGAGTCCAAGAAACTGTCCTGGTAACAATGCGACATGTACAGCCGCTGGTCGTCCGTCGTGGAGCAATTGACTGCATACTCGAGATCGTCCAACGACGTGTCCAACTTGGCACGCAGCAGTGCTCTTCGCTGCAAGTGGCTAGCATCAGCTGCTTCTTTCAAGCGGTAAATGACGCAATTCTTCTTCTCCACGTGCGGTTTCCAGCTCTGACTTCGGTATTGAGGACACAAGGTCGGATTGTCGAGCCACGTCGCAGGGGAGTTCACGTACGTGTCCGCTAGGCTCTCGAGCTCGAGCTTGAGCCGGTCAAAGTGTTCACTTGAGACGTGGGTGATTGGCAAATGCTCCGTCTCAAGTGGAAAGCGAAAACTGTCGCCCGAGTCCTTGACCCGGATGATGCGACCCGTGCGCATCCAGCTCATGCCGCCTCGTGACTGGTCAGCAGTCTCATTGTCGTCGATCGTCGGGGCAGAAAGCGCGGACGCCAAGCGCAGACTTCCGCCGCCTCGTCCACAAGTGCTGCCCGTTGAACTGTGACTGCCCCCGATGCTACCGGAAGTTCCTGCATAGGGCAACGGCGCCCCTAGGGACACAGGTGGCGCTCCAGCTCGCTGCAGAATCGACTGGAGACCTCCAGGTGGCTGGAAGACGGCAAAAGTCGTGGTACTATGGCGCTGCAGACGGTCGGCTGAAGCAGAGCTGCTCGCAAGTGCGGGTGGGGTTAGCGTGGACGGTGACGTCCCGATCATGGAGCTGCTCGTGGCTGAAGAGGTGTAGGGGTTCCCGAAACCGAGCGAGGGCCCGCTCGTCGCGAGGACGGGGCCGCCGCCCAGCCGCGCTGAGCCCGTGGAGCGCTGCCTGGGTGTCTTGGCCCCCGGGACTTGGAACACGGTGAAGCCGACGCCGCGGTTGCTCATGTCTGGACGCCGTGGTCGGGTCCGGGAATGAATGGCCGCGTCCAAGGAGCGGGGAGCGATCACGCGATGCGACGATCGAGGGGTGGGGGATAGAGAGAGAGGGGAGGGGAGGGGTGTGTGTGTGGGGGGGGAAGAGACGGGACAGGAAGCGTGCAGAGACGGGATGGGATGGTGGCGGCGGCGGGACGAAACGCGGCAGAGAGGGCACTACAGTCGCCAGGTGCTGGTTGTTTTATGTGCCGTGTCTGGTGTGCCTCGTTTGAGATGGGGGTTGGGGGTGAGGGCGGCGACTTGTTTATGTGATGGGGGGGGAACGAGTGTCGCGACTGGGCATTAAGTTTGACAAGTCGATGAGGTAATAGGGGGAATTGCAGATGGTGAAGCAGCCGATCGATGGATGATCCAGGGTGTGTGTGTATGTTCGGATATAGGCTCGACGAAACTCTGAATTCGTCGTGAAAGGAAGGACCTCGTTTTGATGGACTGTGTCTTGTGGGCACTGGGAGTGACCATGCAAGTCAAAGACGACGAAGGGGTTCGGTTGAGCGCGGACAGTTTATCGACTTTCGCGGGTCGTCACGCACGACTTTCGAGCGTCCGTTTCTGCGCAGCGAGCCATCAGTACAGAAACTGAACAGCGTCTCCCTGTCGCTATGCCACACCGGACGCGACTATGAAGAGAGGGAGTAGGACCCAGACCGGAGCGACGTCCTTTGCAGGGCTCCTACTATCTACGTGCCTCAACCTGATCGTCAACCAACCCACCGGAAGCTTCAGCAGCTCAATTACAATGATCCGATCACGTGTGGGCAGCTAATTGGCACATTTCGCTCTTTCGCGGGTAAAGGTGTCGTCTCTCCGGGCTCCTGATCTCGTCCCGTCGTTGCCTGTAAACGACTTGTGAGACAAGAGTCACGTCTTTCGTGACCACCTCGAGAGTACTTTATTCTACGCTGCTGTAAGCCACAACGTGAGTAAGGCCATCCACCACCTGTCGAGCTTCTCGAGATTGTCCAGGCTGAAAAGACGCATGACAGTGGTAGCAATTACCGCCAGCGTGCCATCATCGACTACCACCACGTACGCCAGCAGCTCCAGTCCATTGAGTACCAACTGATACATTCTTCATGTACAGCTTGCGGGACGGTGGTCATTGATTGAGGCCACGCTGTAGTCACAGTGGAATGAGCTAGACTGCGTTCGCTGCACATCAGGTGACGCCGCGTCTCGTCATGCATCGTGTGATCGACAAAGAGAGACGTGGCGTCCAGTTGCTGTGTGGTTGAACTGTACGTAGACCGAGACACAAGCAGCTGCTCGCGACGCGAACCATGTGCTGTGCATTAGCAGAAGGACGATCCTACAAATGCTTCTAATCATCAATGAGAAGCGCGACCAAGAGCGCGGCCGCATCTCTACAATGCTGCACATACTGGCTGGGAAAGATGCTTGCGTGACGTCGCTTTCCCGTCACGATCGGCACACTTCCCACCACATCGTACGCCAGGATGAGCTCTTCATAAGCGTGAACAAGCTGTTCACCGGCACGAAAGAGTTGACGGAAGACTCGCGCAACGTCTTTAAACTATCGACCCGATTGCAGGTGCAAGTTTGGGGATCGTTATCCGTACGACATCGAACGCGTGCGCTTCTTGGTCGTTGAATTCCACTTGCAAGTCTTTGACTGACACTTCACGCTAGCTCCAAATGTGCACCTTAATGGTGACATCCAGTGGCTCATATACTTGACTTGTGGTAATGAAAAAGAATCGAGTCGTCGTACCGCTTCGAACGAGTCGACATTGATGCCCGCCAAGTTATCCCTTCAACAGTGGCCCTCAGCATATCCACAAGTGCAAAGAAGCGCCACGGTCATGAACTAGATACGTGCGTAGGTGTGCTGGTCCCTCTACTCGTCTCTTCTTGTCCACGACTTTTACACCGAGAACAGTACACGAAAAAACAATGACGACCAAGCTTCTAGGCTTTGAAAGACCGACGCTTGGTGTGGTGACCTGACACAAGACAGCTCGGGTCTGTAGCGAGTCCATTAAAGACGGTAACCTACACGATGACCTGACACGTTTTCGATCGTTTACACTCGATCTCCACAATCGGGATACGAACCAGGCGACAAGTTGTCAGGATTTGCAGTCGAGATGATACTTTCGACGTCCTTTAGCCCTTCCCTTTCAGGTTAAACGTGTTGGCATACTAGAAAAAGGTCAAATGTGGGCAAAACAATAGTCGACAAGAACTTGCTTTCGATCGTATTGGAGAAAAGTGTCAGGGTCTTTTCTCTTGCCTGACGACGGTCTTCCGCGTCGATGCGATTGGTCGACGAAAGGGAACGACGACGCGACGATTGGTAGAAACGTCTCACCGCCCTTCCACAAAGTCGTTCCAAGGTCGGACATTGACACGTGCGTGTCGCTTCGCTTCCGACTCGTTGATTGGCGGAAACAAAAAGCTCCACGTTTTATCGATCCTTCGTGTCACGCATAACGACGTATCATTACAACCGTATGGGCAACTGTATCGGAATTGAGACCGCTGTTCCGGCGACGGGCGATTCGTTCGTGGACGTGCTGTTCTTCCCGGATCGAGGCATGCCCTGCAAGGACTTCCACTCGTCAAGCAGGGACTGCACCCGGAAGAATTGCAAGTTTATTCACGACGGGGGGAGTTCCCTAATGACGCTGCTTGGTTTTCTAAAAAGGGCCAAGAAGTCGATGGACATTTGTGTCTTCACGATCACGTGTGACGACGTACTTTGCCCCAATTTGATCCTTTGATACCGCTATTGCTATTGAGCTGCTGGCTGGAGCCTAACTTCCTATCTTCGATATGTTGATTGTGAAAATAGATCGCAGAGACCGTGCTGGAAGCTCATTATCGCGGCATTAAAGTCCGCGTCATTACGGACGATGGCCAGGCAAAAGGTAAAGGCTCGGATATTCAGAAGTTCATTGATGCGGTACGGTGCAGCGTGGAGAGTGGATCGGTATTGCTCGGCGTACTGATTTGTGAAAGATGTGGCGACTCAATAGGGTATTCCAGTGCGCGACGACAACGCACGGACGTACATGCACCACAAGGTAGGTCGGTGTTGTTTTCCTGCGTGGAATATCCGTACTGATGAACTGCTGTTTGTTGTTGACCGTCAGTTTTGCATCATTGATCACACAATCTTGCTGAACGGTACGACGTTCGCCAGCAGTATTGGTGTAGCGACTGTGATGTGGCCTTGCTGATAGGGAACGATGTGCCGTGTGTATTGGTCAAGGATCTTTCAATTGGAGTCGCCAAGCTGTTGTCGGCAACGCAGAGAACCTCGTCATCCACAAGAACGGCCCCATCATCGGTTCGATGGCGCTACGGCAGTTACGCTTTCGTTTCTCACCCTAACTTTGTTCACTTCTTGCGTACAGGTCGCTTTGACGAGCAGTTTGCGCACCTTTGGGCGAAATACGAGCGCTAGAACACCACGTAGCACATGACACAACCATCAGCTACACGTCCTTGCCGCTACACCACCACCATATGAACTCAAGGCAACACCACGTTCGGACTCCACAAATCATCTTGTTACCATCTCGCAATTGGTCCATGTACCTCTGCACACATGATCCCCATCAACGCCCGCACCGCTTGTTGCCTTCATCGACGCTGCTGCACCGACGACTCCATCACGGCTTTCAAGAACGCCAAGTTCTTTTCATTCTCAATCCTCGCTAGCTCCAGTCGCTCTTGGCGATCAGCTTCCCGCTGTTCCCGTCGATCCCGTCGCTCGTCTTCCCGCGCTTGACGACGATCGTCCAACTTGGCCGCCAGTGCCTCTTTCCGGAATTCAAGCTCGTCCCGTCGCAGCTGCAGCTCCTGCTGCTTCACCTCCAGCGTCTTGTCCATTGTGTCCCGAATCGACGTGAGCACGAGCTCCAGCGTCTCGAACCCGCCGCTCATTGCTGCAGCGCTTCGAGCGCGTTTGTTCCCCAGCACCGACCGCCGCTCCGTCTCTTGGGCGGCCAACTCCCCCGTCTCCTGTCCCTCTGCTGCTTTGGCTTCTTCTGGACGCGGCAACGGACTCGGCTGCGCTTGTTCCGGCTGCAGAAGCGCCAGTCGAGGACGACATTCATAGCTCCTTCCCACCCGAAGCCGCACTTCATCCGGCATCTCGGGACACCGCGACGCGTGCGTGAGCAGATTCACGGGCCGCGCATTGCACACGAGCGCTCGGCAGTGGCGACACGTGACGTCCGGGCTTCGTTTCTCGCCTGTAGCGGCCACAGTCGTCTCAAACTCGTGCCAGATCGGGAGCAAAGGCCGTCCCATGTCGCGTTTGTGCACCCGGGCGACAAATGGATACACACCACATACAGACGACCGTCACGCCGGACGCGGTTCCCTGTGAAATGCGATGTGATGCCATTTGACAGGGTTTCAATTTCCACCAATCGTTGGATCGCATTGGAAAACATGCACACGCTGTGGCGGCGCTCGGGACGCGGCTGGCGGCGCGCGAGTCGCGCCTGCACGTCATTGGCTACGGCTCTAGAGCCGCCACGGTTTGTCGACGACCACTGTCGTCTGCGGATTGCGCTGGTGGGACGTACGAATGTGGGCAAGAGCACGCTGTTCAACCGCTTGACCAAGACGCGGTCAGCGATCGTCCATAATGTACCAGGGACGACTCGAGACCGTCGGTACGCGCGTTCGGGAGTCGCTGGACTGGATTTGGACGTCGTGGATACTGGAGGACTGGAAGACGCGCCGTCAGGGACGCTGGAGGAAGGGATGCTCGAGCAGACGCGACGTGCAGTGCACGAGGCTGATCTTGTCTTTTTCCTGGTTGATGGACGGCAGGGGGTTACGCCTGTGGATACGCACTTTGCGCGGTGGTTACGGCGAGAAAACGTGGACGCTCCGGTTCATTTGGTCGCGAATAAGCTCGAGGGAGACGTGGACCGGTGGGAGGCTGAACTGAATGAGTGTTACCAGTTGGGCATGGGCGGAGCGATCCCGTTGTCGGCCGAGCATGGAGAAGGGATCCCTTTACTGCTGGACGAGATCATTCCCGTGTATGATGAGTTCCAGAAGAAGAGGAAGCAGGAGGTGAATGTCAAGGAGGAGGAGGATCGAGAAGAGAAAGAGGACGATGATGTACGTGGCGGGAGCGGGTTTGATGGGTGTGGGGATGGAGGGAGATGGCTGATGAGATCTTTGAACTGTTTCTTGTCACTGTGGTTAGCCGCGGACGATCAAGCTGGCGATTGTTGGTCGCCCGAATGTCGGCAAGTCGACGTTGCTCAACAAGATTGTGCGCAACGATCGCGTTCTCACTGGTCCCGAGTACGTGATGAAGCGCTGACGTGGCTTTTGGTCGAAGAAATGCGGTGGAGAAGTACATGCTGATGTGAGTTGTGTCTCTGTTGTAGGCCCGGAGTGACGCGTGATTCGGTCGAAGTGCCATGGACCTTTCACGGGCGTCCCATTAAGCTCGTGGACACGGCCGGTATTCGGCGGTATAGTAAGCGTGACCACGATGACCAGATTGAGAACCTGTCAGTGCGTGACGCTTTCCGTGCAATCGACTCGGCTCAGGTCGTGGTCGTTGTCGTGGATATGAGCGAGCCCAAGCTTATTCACATGGACTTGACCATTGCACAGCGTGTGATTGAAGAGGGACGTGCGTTGGTGCTAGCGGCCAACAAGAGCGACCTAGCAGGCGCTGGCATCGAGTTCGAGATGCAACGTATCCAGAACGAGTTGCAGGAATCGCTTGCACAAGTGCGCGGTGTGCCTGTGGTGCCCATCTCTGCGCTCACAGGCAGTGGAATCAAGAAACTAGTGCCGGAGGTGCTGAAGGCGTACGAGAGATGGGACCTTCGCGTGACCACAGGCCGCTTGAACCGATGGCTCAAGGCCATGGGACGACACCACCCGCCTCCAACGGTCAAGGGCAAGACGCTGAACATCAAGTACGCGACTCAAGTGAAGTCTCGACCGCCTACTTTTGCAGTGTTTGTGAGCAAGCCGTCCGAAGTGCCTGAATCGTATCAGCGGTTCTTGCTGAGCCAACTGCGCGAGGAGTTTGACATGGTGGGGGTGCCTGCTCGACTGCTGCTACGTGGCAACAAGGAGAACCCGTTTGAGAAGCGCAAAAAGTTCCAGCAACGTACCAGCAGCGTCATGTATGGCAAGCAACGCCATGATCGGAAAGCTGCTACTGAATCGACGTCTACGACATCGTCACAGTCGAAAAGCAGCAAGAAGTCTGCTTTGACCAGGAAGCAAAAGACCGGACACTTTGTACCTCGTCGTTTCAAGGCCAAGAAGTAATAACCTGTCAGCTGACGCAAAGAGGCGGACAACAGATGGACCGGTTGATCAATATACTCACCAACGTCGCACACCACCATCATGTATGTACCTTGTCTGTTAAACTGCTTACAAAGCATCCTGCTAAACACACTAACACACTGTTTGTCAACCACATAAACTCAGCAAAAGAGATTCCGAGCTCAAGCAAAGTGCAAGCAAGTAAAGTCGAACGCCGCAACTGTCTCGTCACTTTTTGATTGCGTGCTCGACCAGGAGAAAAGCTCTTTATGCACTGCATTCCTCGAAAATCTCACGACAAAGATCCGTCGGTACTGCTGATAATGTAAAGGATGAAATAGCAGCCAAGTGTGGAAAAAGCGGTCGAGTGCCGTCTCTTCATGTGCGACGAACGAACACTCGTTAGACCTTGCCTGGAAAGCATTGCTCAATAGCAAAGCCCTTGGCCGAGTGTTTGCTCTCAAAGTGGTCATTCAGCTGCGTCCTCTATTCAAAGTAACAAGCACAAGAAAAATAAGGACAAAATAAAACACAGATAGAAATGGCTACATTCAAACAGAAAACATCAAAACCTTCGCAAGACGTACGTTCGCGGTAATTAGAAACGTGGTCATGCAGATTTTGCACTTGATGCCAGTCTTGTCCGCTTCCATCTTGGCCTTGGACTCGGCGTGGTTCTTCTGCTTCGACTCCTTCATCTTCTTGGCATTGTTGCGGTCACGCTTGGCTGCGGACTTTTGTCCATTTCCACCGCCCATTTCTACTGCTGCTTGATCACGGCTGAATTGATTTCTGTCGCTTGGGTGGGTGGCTCGGAGCGTTAGAAATGAAACGGCCGTTAGAAATGAAACGGCCCACGACGACAACTGGACGAAACACGGACTCTTATGACGAGACGGCGTGGATCTACTAAAACTAGGCGCGGTCCAAACTCATTTGTGACGGACCAAATGATTGAGACAAATGACGCGGTATAACCTCGATATGGCTACACTGCGTTGCAGTAGTTTAGAAGTAGTACTTGGTAAAGACATATTCTAGCTAGAGCTGAAGCATATATATTGACACTGCGTAGCGAGCTTACTCGAATACAGGGCAACGATGTGGTTATAATTCAGCTCCTGGTGGCAGCATTTCGAGTTGCGTAAAGCGTAGAGCATCACATTCATTTCTTCCATCAGCGCCAGCAGCATGTGATACGAATAAAGTTAACAAAGCATGAACAATGTTGTACGAGGAGCTACCAACAGTGCAATGATGCAGCAGTAGGTCACGAATGATAGGGAGCTGCTGTACATTGCTCATCATGATACGCAACTGAAGAAGCGGTTCAGCCATACAGACTCGTATGAATGTTGCGAGCCCAGCACGTCGGTGAGTCCCGCACAGACTTGTGCACAGAAATAATAGGGAGGATGCAAGTCCGTAATGAGTCGAGCAGTCCCCGAAATGTTTGTACCTCACTAGGACGGGATCAGCATGCGTAGCAATGTATTGAATCAGCACGTTTGTTAACTCTTGATCAGCGACTGATAGCATTGATCGTTATCGCTACCTCCTCGTCAGCTCAGCTCGCACGTCCGTCCGTCTACTTCCAGCAGCCAATTCGCTTGGGTGTTGGGACAGATACCCCGTGCTGCAGAGAGATCGACTTGTAAAGATCGTCGGCCACTAACACGATCCGAAAACAAACTCAGCATGAAGCCCGAGACAGATCGGACATTAAGATACGCAGCATCACAGGACCCATATTCAAAAGGCTTTCGTCTTGGCAGCTACGATTAGCAAGCGTTTCCACATGCTGAAGCAAGTCACGATCATTCATCCTGTCCTCGTTTGCTTTGCGTCAGCCGTGCTGACCTGCCGACAAACCGTACAGTACACTCTGACCGAGTGCGCGATTCCACTCTCGAAGAAGCAGAAGAGCACGACACGTCTTAGGATACGGTAACGTGTCAGCAGTGCAAGAGGAGACTTGCGTTGGCTCTCATCGCTCTTGTGCTCTCGAAAGTGCTGTTAGACCAGTTCTAGCCAGCATAAGTCGTAGCCTGAAACGAAAGAAGCGGATCGAGGGGAAGACTCGGATCAAGATGCAATCGCCGCAGTAAGGTGAAGCTCACGCTAATTGTGCAAGAAAAGCAAAAACACGTGACACGACCTCATCAAACACGCCACGAGAGTCCACCTCTACTTACATGCCGATCCAATTGGGTCGATGTCAGCAAGAGCGAGCTCCTGGAGGATCATGAGGCTGTCCACATTCTGGCATGCAAGATAAGATTTGCACCGGAGCCACCTCTAACCTGCTTCCTCGAGGTGCGAAAATGCAACAGAAGCACGCGATACCGTTCTCGATCGTCCCCTTCAATCGCTTGGCTGTCATGTCGTTCTCGCAGTCAACTGACTCCTGTTGTAACAGCTTCCAAGCCTTCGGTTCACATCAGCCAGCGTCAGAAGGTCACTTCCAACTAGTCTATTGTTCCCCAACATTCCCGTAGAAGGCACTAACAGAGTCGATCAACAGTGTAACAACGAACCTGGGTTCTTGAACTTGTCCCTACCGGAATAAAACATCAACAACCAGCCAACAGAAGGTCGTAGTATCCATCCACGAGAATAGACACCAGCGCGTAGCAGTAGTAGGCAACGTTTCTGAACGTGTGCATCGGCCTATCGTGCTCTACAATGCTCCTACACAAACACCCTCTCTCTCTCTCTCTCTCTGGCAAACACTAGTTGTCAGCAACATATCTGCTTGATACGAGCAAAATGCACGACGATGAAAGCCACGCGATCCGCATATGTGAGCCTTTGCAACTCGCCCAGCCACACCATCACTCGAGTAGTAACAATGTTACGCCCTCAAACCCTTCTTCAGTCAAGCAACGAAAAATAACGGATCGATGCAGCGTCCATGCAAGCACAACACATCTCCAGAGCCGCGCTCGTCCTTTCTCCTCAGAATCGACTGGACATCGCTGTGAGTAATGCCAAACGGTACTAACCGCTTGAGTCGTGTAGTGGAGAAATGACCTCGTTGTCGTCAGTTGTCGAGTAATAGTCCGTCATCGAGTCAGTTGAGCCCGAGGTCGGTCCTGTCAGCCAGAAACATCGACAAGTTCGTAGCAGAAACGATATCGTACACGATGTGAATGACGGAGGTACCCAAGGTCCAAACAGGACCAAGGCGACACAACTCCTGACCCAGAAAAAACCGGTCCTCTTCGACAACGTTCTCTAGATAGAGGCGAGTCAAGTCCTCGTCATCCCTCGCGCCGCCGATATCAATATCACCTCAACTTTGTATGCAAAAAGCAAGTGACGCTGCTGCTTTCTACCCGCTCAATCGCGAACTTTACAACATGATAAGCCACCAACGCCATCCGGTTTTCGCAGCGACTTCCACCTGTCTCTCGTCCGTAACGTCTGTCGCATAACAAGTAGTCGCAACTCCCTCCATTTGCCACACAGTCAAAGACAAAGACAAAGAAAAACGAAACAGTCAGGTAGAAACCGCCTCACTTGGAGTCAGTGTGGAAAAAAAAGCTCTCGATCGCTTCAACGTCCAAATCCGCTCGCGTTCTCCCCATCGCCACTGAAATCGTTGTCGTTTTTCCTCCATCGTACGTCACATCTCTCTCTCTCTTTTTCTTCCTTCTCCTCCTCCTCAAATCTCTCTCTCTTCTCTCTTCAAGTTTATTTTCTTTCGGTGCACCCTTGTCGGTCAGTCTCCGATATTCCGTGTCCATGTTGAACCGCGTGTTGAAGGAGGTCAAGTTGCCCTTCCCGGAAGCTTTTTTCCCCGAAATGACCGTGTCAACCTCTTGCTCGGACGAATTCCACGCCTCGGCCTCGCACTTACTCAGCGAAACGTTAGACGCCGAGTGGACGGAAAGCACGTGCCACCCCACGCAGCAATCGGATCAGTGGAAAATCATTGGCAACCGCAATGGGTTACAAGTGTACCGGGAACGAGGGTTCACAAAAGGTGATGCTGTCCAAGTGACGGCTATGGGTCACGTCACTGGGTTACTGGAAGACGTGCTGCTTGGACTTTATGCTTCCACCACGGGGGCCCTCAAGACCCAACGGGCCATCATGCACAAAGACTACCTGGATGCAGCCGTGCTGCATGTTTTGGAACAAGACCCGTACAGCGAATACGACACGGGCTTCTCGTACCGCTTTGAAGGGCTCAAGTGGCTCGCCTGTGCGCCAGCTGGGAAGATGGTGCACAAGCGGGACTTGTGCTGGCACGAGGAACTTGGACGGACGCTGGATGCCAATGGGAACAAAGTCGGGTACCTCGTCATGCAATCGGTGCAGGTGAACGAGTGTCCGACATTCGAAGCCCAGGGACTGACCCGCTCAAAAGCTTCCGTGTGCTACATCTTCCGGTCCCTGCCACAGAACCGGGTGGCGGTTTACATGCGAGGACGACATGCTGTCGGAGGCAAGGCGAGAAGCTGGAGTGCCGACCCAATCATGGCGGAACTTTGGCTCGGAGTCGCGAGTGCACTGGAATGTGCAACTGCAAAACGATTGTCGACCCTCGTGAGCGCCAAAGACAGGATCCTCACGAATGCCCAGTACGTTCTTGTCTTCATCTCCTCTGTGTGTTCTCCATTCTCTTGTCCTGTTTCCGATCGTCGTCATCCTAACGGTTCTGTGTGTTCTTGCAGGAGCAAAACATGTGCGTTCTGCAACTCGAAGCTCAAGACGCTGAAAGCGAGCCAGAACTGCAAGATCTGCGGCAAGAGCGTCTGCGAACGCTGTCGAGTGGCAAAGATGATTTACCCGTCCCGCAATACAAGCAGCTTCCCGTGCAGCTACTTTTTCTGCAGACCGTGTTTGAGTAACACTAAAGAAAAGTTGTACGGACGCTCTGGTGCTCGTGGGAGCTTGGATCAAGAAGATGGTTCGGGACTGTCGGGATCGAATTGGTCAGGGTCACCTCGCTACGCGCACACGCACTCAACTGGCAGGTCAGGAGTCAACACATTACCCGATCCGGTTGCATTGCAGCGGCAGCGGGTCCCATCGTCACGTTATCAAGCTGGATTAACTGCAAAGTTTTCTTTCAGAGGACATGGGATGTATCCGTTGACACCAACCAGTTACTCCAGTGCCCGATCTACCGTGTCATCTGAGCCTTCCATGTCGCTTTACAGCACGCTATCGACGAATTCGGGTGGTAGCCCAACGAACGACAATGTCAATACTGCCAAGCGAGTGCCAAGTACGCGAGGTTGCCAACCAAGTCAACCATCAGGTTGGTCAGCGAAGAACCCGACAGCAGCAAATATATCCAGAGAACAGCGCACGACCAGCGATTCTGTGCGGCATATGGCCTACGGCAATAGCTATGTGCCAAGTCAGCACGCTATAATTCGTCCAGGCAATCACTCGTTCAACGATAGTAGATATGTTGGCAGCCAGTCGGTTGACAGCACATATGACATCGAGGGAACCGGGACATACTGCGGTCGCGGGTTCCTTAGCGATGATAGCGATATGAGTGATGAATCCTCGAACGAAGAGGATGAACACGCCATCAGCCGCAAGGATCGACGGAGACGAATGATCAGCACTTATGACGCTAATGAAAGCGGCGTGATCGAGCTCAGTCGTGAATCGGATTTCACGAGCGATTCGGTGAATGAAGTGGAACCGGTGGATGTGTTTGAGAACGACAAGCTCAAGTACATCAACTCGTTTCGCTCGAATGAATCGGCAGTGGCTGCAGTCGGCTCAGCAGGTGGCGTCACATCGTATTCAAATGGTTCCAAAGAGCAGGAGAACCTCCTGGAGAGACTCATCCAGATCAACATGGCGGCCGAAGCTACGTATTTGATGACCAAGTATAACTCCAGTATCCGTAGTGACTCGATGCGATAGCCGCTGGATAGTGCAGTTTGATCAGTATTCCAGTTTGAACAACGTTGTCTTATGTATCGACATGGACTTGCTATCGCCACACACGACCAACTTGTTCAACGTCAACACCTTGTCAACCTAGTTGGTCGACTGCTTGCCCAAACGCTTCAATTGAATCATTTGACGACGATACTCCATGATGGGAACGGCCGGGCTTCCGCCTACACAAAGTAAAAAACAGCAAGCAACCGTCAGCTATCTCAGCGACTCGAAGGTAACACGCTCACTGTGCGCACGTACCATACGTAGCGTTCGGCTCGAGGTGGTTCATGACACCACTTTTTGCAGCAATCCGAACGTTATCCCCGATGTTAAGATGCTGCGCTACCCCTGCTTGTCCGCCAATGTACACGTTATTGCCCAATGTCGTACTACCGGCAATCCCAGTCTGCGCAGCAATGACGCAGCCGGTTCCAAGCTGGACATTGTGACCAATTTGAATCTATTCGCAAAACCAAGCTCGAGATCCGTTAGATATCTTGAATCGAGGGTCTACTTCAAGACAAGAGAACAAGTTCTAACCATACCAGGTTGTCGAGTTTACAGTGTTTGCCAATCACCGTGTTGCGCCAACTGCCGCGGTCAATCGTGCAGTTCGCGCTACAGTCCATACAACCAAAGGCAAGAGAAAAAAATCAACAAACATGACACTGAAATCTCAAGAACATCATTGCTTTGACGTCACAATTAGTTGAAGACGCACCCGATCTCGACACAGTCATGGACTTCAACACTTAAGGCCTGGAGCTTCTTTTCATGAACGCCATGATCGTTCAGCATGAACCCGAAACCATCTTGACCGATCCGGACTCCTGGGTGGATAACCACTTTACTGCCAATTGAGCAGTTCTGTAACGTAACATTGGCACTAATCATCGAGCCGTCCCCTATCACAACTCCTTCCCCCACGGTGCTAAACTCCCCAATGTAACACCTCTTGCCAATCTGGTACAACAAGTAACCCACAAATAGTCACATCATGTTTTTACATTCAAAACAACAATCGACATCGACCAGAACTGCGGCAGTAACTTGTCCGACCTTAGCGGAAGCATGGATGACCGTATGAGGGAACAACTGGCTGCTGCTTGAAGACGCACGAGTCGATTTTGACAGACTTTTCGGGAAAAGAACCGCTACATCTCGTGGACGATAGAAAATGGATGCAATCATGGAGCAGTGGCAAATTGCAACGACCGGGTGCACAGCTAACGTGGTGCACGAGTTGCTTCGAGCTTTAATGCTGGAAAGTATCTTTACTTTTTGAATGGCTAATTTGCTACTGCGACGTGCGACCAATTAGTCTGCTAAAACAACGACATTGTGCGTAATTATCTCGGTAAATAAGCGCGCATTGTTTCCACGAGCTGGCCGAGCTGACATCCGCGAGTCAAAAAGAGCGACTGGCTATCAGCTGCTTTCAGACGATAACCGACTGAAGCAAAGCAGTCTTACCACGACCGACAAGTCCACGACTTTTGAGACACAGACCTGCACAGACCCAAGTTCATACTGGAGTAATAACTAGACTATAGATGGCAATGCCAAATCTCCTACCTTGCACAAAGTCTACTCATCCTTGATGTTCACTTGGCGCGAAACAGCATCTGTAGCTGCCGCCTACAGGTGATATTGACAAACACTAGCAACCAGTAGCAGAGACCACCACACATTCAGATATAAAAACGTGTTCGAGGCGGCAATAGCATGAACGAACCTCGCCCTGTTGCCGTGCTATCTTCCCGATAAGGCGCCACCAGTTGAACGCACCTTGGATCGAAAGCACCGCGTGTCACATTACAGCGTCTTGATCTCGCCATCACGTCATCCATCAAACTGCCAGCGCTTTTCTCGTCATGCGCCTCACGTACTCGTCAGACGTCGCATTGATATCCCGATCCCGCTGATCATCTTCGGATCCACGTAGGAACCCGCAAGTGCTGACCAGCTTCTAGTAGTCACTTTTCAGCTGATCGTTTCCTCGATAGCCACGACTTTTTCTGCTTCGGCGGCGGCGCCCCCCCAAACTTTTCAGCAAACCATTGGATCCACTTTTCGATCATCCGCCTCAGAGCGACGAACCACTTGATCAGCTTGATCGCAACCTTGATACGTTTCTTGTACTCGACGTATTTCCTGACTGGTTTCCACTTCTTGAATCTCGTCTTGAGACGACTGAAGATATTCCTCTTTTTCTTCGACTTGTTCATCAACAATCTCCTCGTTTCTCCAGTGGCTGCACTAGTCACGTCCGTCACTCGAAGCATCCGCTTATCGTCCAGTTCCGACTGCGAGACTTGGTCCAGACTTGGGGTCGTCAACTTGGTCAGTTTTTTATCTGAAGGAGCCGGAAGAGCGCGATTGCCAGTGGACACCGCGAGTACCAGAGCAAAAAGAAGAAAGAACTTGATCATCTTAGTAGAAATCGCCTACACGGAAGGAGCGAGATGCAAAAAGGAGCTTTAGGAGGATGTAGCACGAGGAAGTCGAATGGGTTGAAATGAAACGTGACGGTTGCGCTCGATTAGTTATTGTGCATTGAGTGGGTGGCAGTTTCCACAGTAGGATGAGAACTGTTGGATCAGCTCCGGGGAACCTGGTGGTCTGATGCAACATGTATAGGTGGACACACTATGCTGTACAAAATTGAAGCGGACCAGATTGCATAGTGATTGGCGTTATACGCGATGTTGGGAAGTGCTGGTCGCTGTCGCACATCGCTAGGCCTCAGATTCAATCTCAAGCGGGAACATCAGACGTCGATAATCGCATGCTATACTGTCAAAGCGTGTATGATGCAGGATACGATAGCTGATTCTTGGCGGCTATCTTGTCTGTGGTGCTTAGTGCAACGGGGTGAACTTGTTATGTGACACTGGCATTCATCGTCGCTGTAAATATTGTGTGAGCAGATAAATATGATGCAATAATTCTTTTTGAAGGTTATGTAAGTAGATATTGTCGCAAAAGGTATTATTTAGCGCTAAAATGTGACAATCTGCTCGTTAGCTGATGCATGCCATTGAAGCGGCAATGTGTGCATTCATTAAGGAAAAACGTGCGCAGTGATCGATGAGTGAGTTGGCAACGCACGTGTTTGTAATCAACTACAGTGGAAAAAGGGTAAGAATAAATCGATTGACTTCAATCATGTCAAGACCGTCTATCTTCTGGATTGAAGGAAATAAGTTTCATGGCACTTCTTGTCTTCTAGATAGCGTAAGCGCGGTTTACGCATATCAGGAGCGGCTTATGGTGCTTCTTCAAACTTGTTGAATAGGCTAACCGTTGACTAGTTGGATAGTTGTGGACTCATTTAATTCTTTGGAGTATGGGCACGATGTGGCCGTCATTAGGATCTCGCAACGGGCTCTCGATCTTGTCGTTGATGCCCATCCATCGATCCACAGCTTTCCGTGGGAAGCCCCACCGAACGTAGCAAATCGGCACGTATTGAGGTACATTAAATGCCAGCCGTGTTGCAAGGCGAAGGTGGTGCTCGGCACGGCTATAGAAGGTCTACTCCAGAAGATATAAAATTGCGCCGACGGTATAGACTGGCACTCTGCGGCTCTTTATCAAACCCCAAAGCAGCTATGAGGCCATCAAAATGCCATCACGGAGTATCAAGTGTGGGTCTAAATCGTTTGATACTCCAACAGCTCAATTCATTCCATCCGGGCAGGGAACTTGACAGCAGTTGCAGGAGGTTGTCCGTCTGTGACGGTCACAAAGAGACACTGGAGCACATTTTCCGGACATGTTCAGTGTCCCAGGATGCTGGCAGGCAGTTCTGACCTCGTAATTTAAATCCGACATACGGCTGGATAACGTGAGCCAGTATGCGGGGAACTGCATGGCGAGAATACCGCCTCCTCTGTTGGGACACTTCAACAACGGCTGCATCAGGCCTTTGGTGATACTGTGGCGGAGTATATTAATCAGTGGAAACGCATATGGTGGATCCTGTGCTCCGTATGTATCTCGACTCTTCAGATTCAGCGTAGTAGGGTTGTTCACGAGAGGCAACAACTGTCACTCCTAGAAAATGTGTCCAAGTGTTTTTCTCTAACGGACTTCAGCAATTACGAGCGTTATCGGCAAGAGAGCGAAGAACGCTACATACAAGGGTGCCAGGCATCCGGCTATGGCAGTGTATTGATATACTAGATGACACCACTGCGCCTTCCAGAGCATCACATCGTGTAAGCACCGGAGTAGTCAGTCGGTCCAAATTCAAATTGAAGCGCATGAGCTCATCTGAATAAAGTTTAGCTATGCTCGAACAAAATGCGGGGGTGACGAATACCATCGCCTGAATCTGGATCAAATTCAGTAGAACGGTTGGTGGTAGTATCAATTGCACACAATTGATAATGAGGACGGGTCGATAATTAGTTAGGAAAGTGTAGGACTCGCACCCTCGGCAAAACCTGAGTCATCCGCCTCGTGTAAGAGCAAGGCGTAAACCACCTCCATAACCTCGACTACAAAGCGGTGAAAAAACTTCAGAGTGATCAAGTGGAAAGTAGTCCGGTTCAGACGCTCTTCCAGTTGTCATGGCTTGATCGTTGAACTTTTTGCTGTTATGGAATGTCCAAGTAAGCTCGGCTCGCCTGAGTCAGTATTGAATTTATGTGCGATTAAACAGAGCCCTGCATCGCGTTCTGCGAGTAGACCTATGGCTTCTTACGCTTAACGCAGGCGGGGTTCGACCACCCACGTACCCAGCTGTACCGATCAAATTTGTATCATTACCCACCATGTCGGCGTGGGGCGCCTTACCTATCATTACCCGTCTAGTTGCCGCCGAACGCTGCAATATGTATAACACAGCATGGTGTCTCTGGTTAAATTGAATAGCTAGCTTTAGTGAGAGCGTAAAAGGGATAGAACCAAAAAGACCTTCGGTCAAGCTACCGCTCAACCCAACGAGTGTAATCACCACATACTACTACCATTAAACCAAGCAAATGTCCACCACCCACCCATGTACACAACATGGGTAAGGGTGGGTAGGTAAGGGCGGATTTTGCAATTCTCTGCTGCCATAGCCCAAATGCGGGCCCTTTTCACTTGTAATTCGTGTGCCTATATTCCAAGAGGTGTCGCCATGGGCTTGTTTCTCAGTATTATACACGTTTGCCAATCCCTTCATCCTACTTCGTGGCAAACAACACAAACAATAACACTTTGTTCAAGAGCTACTGTCCACAGTGCGAAGGAAATAGCTGTCGTGTTCGTTCAGTTGGTTGTTCATCTCACAAGCCTTCACGACATGATTGTGTTTCCCCGTAACAAATAGTCGTGTCAAGCCTGATGCGTGCATTTACTTACCGTCTTCAATCCACAAATCATAGCGTTGGCAGAGAAAAATGAGATGATCTTAGGATGGATGTACCGCTATCGAGGCTCGGGCCAGGTGAGTACAAGTGCAACTCGAGTCATGCAGCCGATGTATGCAGACATTATCGCACCATTTACATGCCACTAGTACAAACTTAAGCTGCAAAGCGTGTTGGACAAGGATGAGGAGCATGCTCGTGCGTCAGAAAGGTCGATCGTCTGCTGAAATGGGATCAGCCATTCAACAAACGAGTTTTTAAGCTGCTAGTGAGGTAAACATCGTTCTCGTGACGACGAGGGGAAGCTCCACGGTCTTTTTATCACCACACCGGTGCTCGACCTGGAGCAATGCTGATCATGCAGCTATATACGCAGTTCTTCGATAGCGACATGCTGAACAGAGACAGACGATGCGTATAGCGATGTGGAGGGGTATTATTCCACTACGGAGGGGGATGCGATCGAAGTAAACCTGCCTTTTATACTGTTTTTCACGCTCCCACAATCGGGATACAAGCGTTATGCAGTCTTGTCCACATCACATCGGTACCACCTCGCTGCGTCATCTATTTAACGAACTCGGTATACAGAGTATCCGACTCTCTGACTCGGTGAAACTGATACGACCGTTTGTCATCCAACCGAGTCAATCAGAACATCTCGCATACCACAATTTGCGCTCATCATCCCGCACCTCTGCCCTGCACTTTCAATCGTCTGAGATGACCAAGTTCTTCCTTCGCATCATACTCGCGCTCGTTCTGATGAATGGATGTAGCAGTCTCTCGGCTCCGTTTGATAAAAAGATGATGAAGTTGACAACGCCGAGCCACGACCACGTCACTCCGTCGGAACTGGTTACGAAACGGATGCTTCGAGTAACCAGTGTCATCGATGTAGTCGCTGGGGACGGACAAGAAGTTGCAAAGCTCGAGCCAGAGATAGAAAAGGCATTTAGTCGTTCCAAGACCAAGTTCCAGGAGTGGAAACCTGCTCAACGGGTTAAAAAGCTCGGGCCAAGGGTAAAGAAGGCTTTTGGTCGTCTCAAGACCAATTATCGGGAGTGGGAACCTGGCCAACAGGTTAAAAAGCTTGGGTCGAGGATCAAGAAGGCTTTTGGTCGTCTCAAGACCGACTACCAGGAGTGGAATCCTGTCCAACAATTTAAAATGATCAAGAAAACTACAAAGATCGCTGCCAAGTTGATAAAGTGGTACGTTATTGTGCAGATGAAGATAGAGGCGTTCATCAAATGGATCCGTGAACTGTTTGGCCTTAAAACGTAAAAAAAGAAGTCGGGGCTGTTCAAAAGTATCAAACGACTTACCAAGAAGTAAGCGCGAGAAAAGCTGGTGGAGAGAAATGACATGCTGGACGCATGTTCGACGGTGACGCAACGAGGATCAACGCTATGAAAATGCTATAGGCATGTGACGGAATCGAGATGTCATGACGTGTACATGAGTTGCAAAGAGTTTTGCGGGTTTGACAGGAACCACCGACAATGTTGTGGTGGACCCGACGTGCTAGATCAAGACTCTGTAGAATGACTCAGCTGGGAGATATGTTCAACTATTGGCATCGGCATCGGATAGGCGGAAGGCTGAGCCGAAACATGGGGCGAGGTCAGATTACTATAATCGAAGGCTTTGTGGTCTTTGTATAGTCTTTCCCAGAAGCGTCCAGCATTTCAATGTAGACGATCATCAGAGTAGTGAGAAATCAAGCAAGTGATGAACGGCTTCGCCTACGTCGTCGACATTTCCAGCCTCAAGCTTGAACTTTCGCAGGATTCTTGAGCACTGCCGTCGTCACCGCTCACACGTCTGAGCTGAATTCACCGTAGTACTTCTGCAACAACAAGGATCGCAAGTCCGCTCTTAGACATCTATAGCCAGCATGTCGATACCCTTCCTGGTAAACCACGGAAAAATGGATTGCGCATATTCAAGTCATCACAAATCTTGCACTCTGTGGCATCATGCTACGTGAAACAGTATGCGGCGGCACACGAGGAGCAAGTGATGACCAAACTTAGGCGGTACAACATCCTCAACGCTTTACTGCAAAGAGTAAAATGAATAATGGGGAGTCATTCGTCAAGCACAATCAGCACATACTGATTCAAACAAGGTTCCAGAAGCGAATCAACAACTTGGTAATTGGAAAGCACTTGTTCAAATTCCATTAAATGAGCTCTGACATGGCCATCGCTACTTCTGGTGCCGATCGATACTGTCCTCGATCTCATCAGCCAAAACCATCGCTGAGGACACAAGCCGCACGTCAGCAACCGACCCACCCAGCTCATCGAACAATACCAGTAAATTCTCATCATCCTGTAGCAGCCAGTCTTGTGGAACTTGGTAGTAGCGCTGAACGAAGTCGCCCTCATCGTTGATGAGCCAGTAGCGGCCCAGATCATGGCCATTGATAAACGCTCGACCTCGCGTGAGCCCAAATAAATCGAGCAAGATGGACGACTGCTGCTCGCTAGTCGCATGTAGTTCTAAAGGATACCGAAAGGATGTCCGATACCAACTCATCAGTTGCCGCCCACTCGTACCACCGTCAGCAGAAGACGCGGACAAACGAGAAACTGCAGTCCACGGTACCGAATTTAACCACTGCGAACGATAGATCTCCAGCTGCTCACCAATAAGACACGGGTACATCCTCCACTCTTGGGCATCCGTTAAATCTGCGCGTCCAACACGCACACTTCCTGTTATTCCTTTACTGTGGTTGCTCCCCAACGAATGGATACCCAAGCTAACGGACACCAGTTTCAATTCGTGGTTGTGATTGACGTCAACGTTCATCGGCATATGAAACTGGAACTCTTTGGAGCAATTGCCACCAGGGTACGCCAGGGATCTCTCACCGATAAGCCAGCCGTCGACGAAAGCAATGATACTGTTACCTTCGCATGAGGTCACCTGTAGCGTCGCAGCGTCATCATTCGTGTTGACACTAGGCCCATTTGGCTGCCTCAAATTAAACGTAGTTTCATAAGTCATGTAGTCGGACTGGTCCGCTGTCAAACGAAGCTGCTCGATCGGCTGCTTAGCTACCACTCGCTTTCTCAATATCTCCATTGATACATTGAGCTCACTCCACGTTTTCCATTCGAGTGTGGCGGCTTTTACAAGTGGACTGTATGTCCGACGCTGATGACCAGAAAATGACTTTCGTACGTCCGCAGTGTCAAAAAGCACAATTCCGTCCTTGATCATCAACATAGAGAACGGTCGAAGCTCGTACTTGCTGCGCGCGTACACCACAGTCACCTTCTTGTTCGCCATGTTTTCCAGAAACGCCACTTGGCCATGTTCGTTTTCTGATCCGTACACAAAAGCGCGTTGATCGCCCGACGATGACATGTTACGGGGATTCAGCAACTGCCGATCATTGCGCAGCAGAATATCATTGCACTCAATCAGGCTCTGGTGGAGGTTGCGCAAATGAGACCGTTTCGGTTCATTGCTCAGGCCGTCGAAATGAAGGTTCACTCCATCAGCGTACATAGTTGTTACTCCCGCAGAAGCACCCGTGCCGTAATTATTGCCACCATGATACATCTAGGAAAGCTCGAACGTAGACAAAGCTTTTCATTAGTTCGTCATACATCATACAAACTAGAGAGCAACGCGAAAAGACACTCACGTAGTAGTTGTGTGCAGCACCACCAATTGCAAACCACCGAGCAACTGCATATGCCACGTCCTCAGGAGTGCGCTCATCATTCGATGGTGGGTTCTCCTTATCTTTCTGCCAAGTCTGATACCAGCCTTCATCCTCAGTCCACACCAGCGGGTCGGAAGGCCGCTCTTTCACTTGCTTCATTGCAAAATCCACGCAATCGTTATCATTACACGAAAGGATCGTGTTTGTAGCTGCATTCGTGTTGCACCTGTGTAAACAACCAGCAATAGTCACAACTACTACCTGCACCACAATAACCTAACCGCCAATCGTCTTGATCACGTACATGATCCAGGGAATGGACGTATCCAATCGCTGCACAAGATCGCCGCACCACTCAACGTACTCTGGATCTTCCGCCGCAACCTCGTTCTCAATCTGCGCCATGATAATCGGTCCGCCGTGTTTTGCCAGAAACGGTCTCGACAACTCCACGACATAGCGAACAAATCGCTCCATCTCTCGCTTCCACGCTGGATTGCTTGATCGTACTTTCATATTCGGAACCCAATTGAGCCATACGGGCAGACCGCCATTGTTCCACTCTGCACAGACGTAAGGACCGACCCGCACATGCAGGAACATCCCAACTTTGGCTGCAAGCTCGTAAAACTTCGTAATGTTGGCGTTCCCGGCAAAGTTCATCACACCTCGTTTTTGTTCATGCACGTTCCAAAACACATCTATAAACAACACACATGGACATCAAATCCAAGACAAGTTCCACATAACAACCAACAACAACAACAATAACAGTGTCAGCACTATCGTCATCATTTGATCAACAGCAGCAACAGCAGCAGTATAATTATCAGTCAATAGATCAGGATCGCCTGATTTGTGTGGCTCATTTATGTAAAGCACCCCCAAAAAAATTAGAAATTCCAAAAAGAATACCAAATTCAAAAATCGAAAAAGTGGTCCTACACATTTCAACAAAATTGAGTCCGTCTTGTTTTGCAGCTTGCAACAGCTGTTCCCATTGGCCTGGCGTGCTCCGAGGGTAGTGTATCGATCCGCCTAACAATAGCGTCTCACGCCCATCGATTTCGAACCCTCGACGCGAAAACTTGATGCTGTATCCTGATTGGCGCTTACGCGCTGGAATGTCGTCGTATGTGAGGTAGTGAAAGTTGCGCGAAGGTGTCCCGAGCAGCAAGGGGTTCGATGCGCGCAAAGCTGGCGGACGCGCGTAGATGAAACCGGCGACCGAAACGAGCACCGCAACAAGCGCCACGTCCATGCGACGTAGACGGCTCCGACGTAGCGGACGAGGTGCAGCAGGCCCGTCTGCAGGCAGCAAGGCCGACATCGTGTCGTCTTCGAGCAACATGTTCGACTCCATTGGATCGCGAAGACGATGCGTGTGGTACAGTGTACCGGTCTGCACACCCGTCGCAGGTTGACGTGCGTGTTGCACGAAGCGGATGGTGTGGCAGACCCCCAAGATACACTATTCGGGTCCGGCATTGGGATCCAAACATCCATGGAAGCGTCACATTGGAACAAATAATTGTGTCAAGTAATTCGTGTGTGATATTCTGCGGTAGGGATCGTCCGTCCTTTGTACAGACATATCGAAGTAGCTCCATGCTGGAGCGGTAGGCGTCCATGCTTGATCGATTTTGGGCTACTGCTTTCCGCACAAAGTAGTCGTATGACGAAACATACGTGCTATGACTACCAGCAACAAGTCGAGCTGACACTTCTTGTGCTGGCCACGCCATAGTACTACATTTTGTATCTTCTACGAGCAGCTCCACCTGCTTATCGCCCGACACGCTTGTGCTAGTGAAGAACTGCTGAATGAATTGTTAGTAGTTGCGACCACTAACGCAAACGCTGCGCACACAAGAACGAACTGTTTGCAGTGATGAAGAATTACTCGATCTCAAGTGAACAAAGCGAACAGTTTGAACTCGTATCGTCATGTCGAACGCGTTCGCTGCTTCTGCTCGAACGCTGATCAAATCAGCTCGTCCTCGATGCAAGTGCTGTCCTCGCTTCGAAAGCTCGGGTAAAGTGGTCCGCTTCTTCAACTGTGGTAGCCAATTTCGAGGCCTTTGCACTAGAACTCTTTCCAACCTCGTTCCATCTCCATCGTTACACCTTCGCGCACCAGTTCTCCGCTCTACAGCGACCTAGACGAAGCAACTTCGTGCGTGTACATCACCGGAAAATGTGGCAACTACCCTGAAAATCAGAATACGAGACGATGCTCCTGTTAACAGAAGAAAACGGTGACCTTCACCGTCTTGTCGACGGACCACGGGACCTGGCGTCAAAAGGATTTCTCTTGCTCATCTTGGACGCTTCTTCGTCCAGCTTCCGAGTTCTTCAGTCGCTGAGCATTCTCTTCTGATCCCCGTCGTCTGGACTGACAGCTTCCATAACCTCAGAGACTCGCCTCCTTCTCTTCTGGTCGAGGCACTCTGCCTATAGTTTCGGCGACACCTCACCGCAACTGTCTACTTCCCTGGTCTACATTAAACTTCTTCTGCTTTCGTCTGTAACCTGCACGATCCTCAATTGCCAGAATGGAGCATCCTTGCTCCATTCCTCCTGGCCGTCTTGACCCCTCAGTCGGTGTTCCGAATGAATCATTGACCCGTGCTGTCAGTGCAGAGACGCCTGAAGGCTGACCATCAGCGTCCAGAAGCATCCATGAAAGTCGCACGTAGCAATGCGTCAAGACGCCGCGTCGCAGACGAGCGGCTAGCCAATGGTACAGTCCGTGACGAGCCATTGCAACTTGCCTTTTTCCCAGCCCTTCCGTCAGTCTTTCCGTGTCCTTCACTTGCGAAAATGACTTTTCCCAATCGCATCAACTACCGTCTGCGCTCTCGGGAGAAATCTCCGCAAACGGAGCACAAGTTGACGGCTCGTGACGTCGAGACGAGTCCGGTGCAATTGATGACGGTCTCTTGTCCCGCTTCCGATCTTGTGACGCAAGTCGACAAGTTCCAGACGTCAGTAGTACACGATCACGCGCTTCTGCCGCTTACACACAAGTTGATGGCCCTGATCTCCCAGCCTGCCAAGCTCCTTGCAGCATTAGTAGCAAACTGCGACCAAAGGACGTCAAAGCAAGTGTTTTGGGCCAAGGCCATTGCGTACCAACACGCAGAGCTTCAGGGGTTATGCACGGCTTGGTTCCGGATCATGGAGGACATTGACCAGTACGAGCTCAGTCCCACTGACGTAATGGTGTTGAAGGCCGTACTTTACTACTGGCGCATGTGGCAGTTTGTCTGCATCACGTGCATTGACGCTGTCACTTCAATCGAAGAATCAGCGATGAGACGCTTACCTCGACCACCACCCGAGTCCAAGACGTGGGTCTCGCTCCTCCAGAAGCGACGAACAGCGTCAATCTCTCCTCCACTCGAGGCCAAGTGCTTGGACGCTGTGTCCCAAGGCATGGTCTTTTCCGGATCGGGGCTATCAAAACGCTCGCGGATCACAAAGAAGAGCAACGAGTTCCTCGTTGCGTGGTTCCTCGCACACAAGGACAACCCGTACCCGTCTCCGGACGAGCGCATGGAAATCGCGACACGAACGGGACTTGCTGAGCAGCAAGTGCGTAATTGGTTTGCGAACATGCGCAAACGCCATTGGAAACCCAACCGTGCAAACGCCAAGAAACCACGTTGTTTGCTCGACTATGTCTTGCGGCAGTCCGAAGCTTGACAACGAACGCCCTGTACGTAGCAGTCGCGGATGCCGGTAACGAATGCACCTCACAACCTGTCTGTCCGTCTACCCAGTGTTGCCACACACACCCGCCAACAAGACAACGAGGCAACCACGACCAGTAACAATAGCACTTGTATCCCAACTCTTGTACCGAATGTCCCCTATGTGTGTATTGTCGTGAGCAGCTCTTTTCACCGCTCCATTACTGCTGCACTTAGCGCCTCTTGAGCCCGAGACTTACTCGTCCTCCTCCAGCGTCGGGGCTTCCCCGATCTCGGTCTTGACGTACTTGTACTTGGCAGACGAGCGCATCAGTTCCTGCTTGGACTTGACGGACGGGAGCTGCGGGGGACGGAGGCCCAGCGTCTCCTGTTTGAACGTGGGCGAGAGCGCAGGCCAGGCCATCCAGCCAGCAAAGAGCACGGCAGGCGCGCCCCACGGAGCTGCAGGTGGTGCAGGTGGGTAGAGAGGAGGTTAGACGAGGAGGTGGGATAGAAATGGGTACATTTGGACACGCACCGTAGCCCGAGAGCTCCTTGGCGACGTGGGTTAGGCGAGCGGCAGACATGGGACGAAGTTGAGCTGACGCTTGGACACCGCTGGTTCGATGGTGGGTGCTGATTGGGTGATAATGAGAAGGGGGCGGACGCTTGCTCAGGGTTTTTTTAGTGACCTCTTGCTAGTGATGGACAGCGCACTTACGATGATTGTGACAAGGTACGTTTGCCACGGGGTTATACTCTTTGTTGTCGATTTTGTGTACTAGTTGCTTCGCACGCAATTTTGTTAGTTTAAAGATGCTAAATTGAGACAGGAGGGACTATTATTGGTCCGGTCGGTTTGTACACCTCGATATTCTGGTGCTCTCTCAATGATGCTGGAACGCCTTTTGTTCCCAACACAGTTGCCAGTAGACCAAAGTCGAACGTGTTTGTACCCCGTCAGTAAAGTGTACCAATGGCATGGCTTTGCAGGGAACAATACTTGCTGACAATAAAGCTGACCGCGCACAGTCTGGTCAGCTTATTTGCGATGTGCTTGTACTGGCAACTAGCAGCTATGATAATTATCCAAATCAAATTAGAGCTTTGATCAGTACAGTGCCTTTTCAAGCACAATTTCTTCTAGCACTAGTACATTTTCCAAAGCAACACTCTTACCTACCAGCCTCCCATGGATCTGAACGGTAAGACACCGCATAGTAGACATGGCTTAAACACGCACCGGCTCATCAATCAGGGCCACCTGCATGGGATGACAGAGCCGTCGTCAGGGTAAACGCTTGTAGAATTTGCTCGCGTCGAAACACAATTTACGAAGTGTTCGTGGACATGTGATGCTCACTGACTACAGCTGAATAATCGCTGACATAGCTCAACATCTGTGCACAATAATCTACACCGCCTCTGATCAAGGCAATCCTCGTTCACTCGTAAGCTTCTCATATTAAGATCGGGCAGCAAGCTCTGGAGCTCGCCCTTCTATTTTAAACTTTCGTCGATAGAACTAAACCAAGGTTCGTATATTCACGTACCTCGTGCACAGTCACTAGATGCTTTATCTTTCGGGCTCGCAATATCATTTTCGTTCGAAGGAAGGGCTCGGCACTGCAAGCATTTTTTCCAAATTGGGATTACCTGGTGAGGGTCGTCACTTTCGATTTGGTCATGACCAAAGCCACCATGTTGCGTGTATTACGCGTAAGCTGGCTGGGTAACTTGTAAACTCTCGCACTTGATTTCTTTGTTACGTGAGGATAAAGATTGGGATCCGTGGCCGGTTGCGTGTTTCTGCTAATTTATTGCTGCTTTGGTCTATACGATAAAAGGAGATAAAACTGCAGTGCGGGGCATGAAGTGCACTTTACAATTGATCCAACGTATGCTGCTCGATCAGGGCGCCTGAACCAACAACAATGTGGCCATTACGAGTCATTACAATGATCTCGTAGTCAGCTCAACAAACATCTTCACTGTAACCTCTAGGGTAGAGTCCAGAAGCATTCAAGCCGACAGAAGTAAATTACAAGTCTTAGGAGAAGAGTTTGAAAGAGGAACACAGTTGACATGCACCCATGACTTGCTGCGAGTCATCACATTCTTTCGCAGCCCAATGCTGTAAAGCCTCTAGCACATGCCGACATCAGATCAGGTTGAAGCAAGAAACGTCGACGCAACGACCAAACAACTGCAGCAACTTGTTATGCCCGCGAGACGTTACAAACCACATGCCACATATACCTGCTCTCTGCTGACTTGCAAAAGAGTGCCTCGGTCGTCGCTGCAAATCAGCCACGACGAACCTTACACCCTGACTTGGTAGCCGTCAGCGCGCCTGTGGTAGTTGGCGCAGCTACAGGGGTGTACTCGTCCGAGGTGTCGCTTTCCAACTTGCCATCATCAGCGCTCTCGTCGGCAGGGTTCTTATCGGTAGAGCCGTCAGAAGCAAGTGAGGCAAACGAAGCCGTAGGCACCGCGTCCGTGGGTTTCTCATCAACCTGGCTCTCCTCCTCATCAGTTTCACCCGTAACAGATGCATCCGTTGTGGGAGCTGTCTTCGCAACAGCATACTCATCCACAGCAACCTCCGGCGTCTTGGAAGGAGCCGATCCACTCGAGCTGCTTGAGCTCGAATTAGTGGTCTTGGCAGCCCCTCCAGCGTCGCTAGGGACACTGTCTTCAACTGACACACCATTGAAAGACAGCACGTCTTGGCCATCCACCATCTTGACCACACTGCCATCGTTCGAGAGCGTGAGCTGGCCAAAGTGGAACTCGTAGTTTGTAGGAACCGCGCCATTGTAGCTCTCGGTCTTGGTCAGGGCCAGGGGGTCATCGTCTTCACTAAAGTACAGTGCGAGTTTCCCCGTCGACACGGCGATGCCAAAGTTGTACCACGTCTTGGTCTTGAACTCAGTGGACCAGCGCGTCTCCATGCCGCCACCCGTGTACCAGAGCAACTCGACCGGGTCTTTCTTCGCGTCAATGCGGATCTCAAAGAGATGCGACTCGGGGAACACCACTTGCCACGAGTACTTGTTCGCGTACGGCTTTTCCTTCATGAGACTCACTCGGAAGAAGGTGGTGCCAGCTGTGTTGCCAGCTACGTTTTGCACCAACTCGGAGCGACGAAAGTTGGTTTGACCTCCGAAAATCGCTTCCGAGTCCACGGCGAGCGTGGCAACACCCGTGTCCTTATTGAAGGCTTTGGAGCGACCGGTTGGCGTGATCGTCACCCACTGGTCCGGCTTCACCTTGCCGTTCTGACGGTCCGTTAAAATGTGCGTCAGGTACTTGTCATTGAGCGAGCCAACCTTCAAGTCTTGGAATCGGCCATCCCAAGGCAACTTCTGGTCACCTGCAGCTTGCACTCGTGACGGTTGCAGCATTGCAAGGAACGCTACGCTGGACGCGACAATTGAATGGATGCGAGTCATGGGGGACTTGGAGCTCGAGACGCTTTCGGGTAAAAGTTGGAATGATTGGAAAGGTTGATAGCGGTACTGGTGGAGTGCAGGAAGATCGAAGACTACTTGACGCAAAGCGAGGGACTCGGGTGACTGTGACAGTTGCATACCTGTGTATGATGATTAGGTTGGGGAGAACGCGGCAAGAACGGATTAGAAAGGTGGGTGTGTGTTTGAGATCTGGACTGCAATAATATGGAAAGAGTGCTGGGTTGCTGCAGTATTTTGTAACTTTATATCCCGTGCAAACACTGGTTTGTGAAGAGAGAGCCGCCTGCATGTACCCTTCAATTGGACGACGGCACCAGATGACTTTGAGGAACTGGGAGATAGCCTGGAACCTGAGCCGACCAGGGTGATCCTTGTCGCAAGGATGCGAAACTTCGTGCTCTTTTTTCAGATGGTTGACGTACTTGTGTTGCAGCGTACGTCTTGATAGTTATTGCAGCTAGCAAGTGCCTGTGTAGCTCGTTGCGGATCAACCATCTTAGTCAAGCTCATGATGTCGCACACGATACATCGTGGAGCTGGACGTTGCTGACGCTACTACTTTCAATTAAATCGCTTGAATGGCTCCTGTGCTTACTGCATGCTAGTGCAGTTCACGCAGTAGCTGACAAGGTTTACTAGCTTCGATTCATACGATCTGACCGTCGTCGAGAATGCTGTTGAGGCGTGGGTAGAGCATGCTGTTTGTCTCATCGCGACTTCTCTTTGAGATTCCGTGGGTGTCATACGCTGAAACCAGTTTGTTGGTGTATGTCGGTTTGTTTTTATCTAGACGAGGGCACAACACTGGCGTACGCTTTTATACAGATGCCGAGCAAAGGTGGATCGACAACGACGACAGGTAAGCTATTGATGGAGTGTATGTGAAGCGACCTGGGGTCGCTATGAATGAGACCCGGCTAGATATCACGTAGGCGCTACACCACAATACACATCCGTTCTTGATCGCGTACATGTCCCATTCAAATAGCACCCGTAATTATTCTTCTGCCCCTACCTCATTTCCATAGCACGACTTGTGGCAGACATTACTGTGCGTGTTTTTCTATCTATGGTTCGCTCGGCCACAGGAAGATCGTAGTCAGCAAACATCCACATGCACCGCATGCTACGTGCGGGCTATTGACACAGCGTTTTCTTGCAGCGTGTACCTTTCTTGCCTTGGTGGATATGAAACCACCATGACCTTAGATTGACACGACAATCCTGTCATCGCCACGTGCTCACAAATTGCCCAGACGACGAAGCTGGTGCATAGTCCTCGACGATTTCAATGCGATGTTTCGGCTTCGTACATTATCGATTCTCGCAATATCACATTGCCGCTAGCAGTCACCGGCAGGCTCATGCTGAGCTCACCAACCGCTGTGCATGTGACGTCGGTTCCACATGATAAATACCCCACACACATTGAAAGCATCGAAATTTCAGCACATCGGAGTCAACTGCACTTTTGCTGTTATAAGCCACCACCGAATCCAATGTCGACAGTAGCTACCCCTCGTAGCTTCTCGCAAGACTTAACGACTTGCCACGACTTTGTTGCTTGTGCTTCAACGATGCACAAAAGCCATCGTGCCCGGCTGTATCTCCCCAAAGCAGAGGCATGGACACGTTGTGCTGGAAACTGAGATCATTGCTAACGCAAAACATTCCTAGGAAAACCTGGACGAGGTCCCGTCATACACTTGGTAAAAATCGGTCTACAGCGTGCGTGCGGCGGTAGTTGGTTATGGTCTCAAACATCCACGCACCGACCAAGCAAATCACCTAGAATGGCAATCTACTCAAGCTGTGGCAAGAAGGACATGCCAGCTTTGACCTCGCTGCTTGGAAACACACCTTCTTGCCAGGTCTGCTTCGAATACATTCCAGTAGATGGATCGACACTTGATTATGGATCTGGACAGGTGCCAAGATCTGCGAAAAGTATGCGAAAGCACCACCGTATGCTAAGGAAGAACACAGAAGCCAGAGCGTCGCCGATCGCACACTAGCAAATGGCTCTATGAGTCCAGCCGGTAAGCGCATAAACCAAACCGTCAGCAATCGTGTCGAAAGGTAAAGATGTGATCGATCGTCCTACGTCAGAGACTTCGACACCGACAACAATCTCCTTGTGCGCATCGGTAGAGGTGCGGCATTCAGCTTGAGTGGCTGGCTTTATTTCTCTCTCCATATAAAGAACGACGAAGGCTTGATGTGTAGTAGTACCCTTCCACCTTAGACAGATGTCGATGTAGCAAGATTGTTCAATCAGTTGCACAGACCTGCTGCCTAAGTAGATTTTGGTGATAGTTAAGAGCACCAATAGCTAAACGCACACCGTAGAAAGAGAAATAGTCATCTAATGTCGCGATTGTCACGGTACAAGACTCAAGTCGTACGTATAAAGCTTGGCGAAGTCGAGACTAGAGTCATATGTAGAATACCTGGCGAAGTAGCATACAGTCGAACAAATGTAAGGCACGAACAGCAGTAGTGAACACAACAACAAAATACCAGTCAACCATTTACAGTTAACGTTCTCAGTAAAACTGGCATAGAAATGCAGCCTCGCCGGCATTCAGTATGCATCATCACTACAGTAATGAAAGATTACAGACGCCTAGCGCTTTGCACGCTTACTTGGCGCAGTTCTCTCCGGGCTTTTCAATGCCCTTCTTGGTAGCAGTGACCGGGACCTCATGCTGTACGTTGGCCGCTTCGTCGACAGGAACTTCATTGGCGATACCGGACGCAGTCATCACTACCTCCGCTTCCACTGACACGCCATTGAACGACATGATGTCCTGCTTCGCGTCCATCTTGGGCGCACTCCCATCGTCCGAGAGAGTCAGAAGGCCAATGTGGAACTCGTACCACAACGGCAACTCACTCGAAAATTCGTGCGTAGTCTTGAGAACCAGGTCCTCGTCCCCCTCGCTCATGTAAAAGTCCACCCTGACGTTCTTACCAAAGGGTGCGGCCTTGATGGCAACGCCAAAGTTGTACCACGTGCCAGGGACAAAGTCAGTCTCCCACTTGGGGTCCCACGTACCGTTGTTGAGGTAGATGAGCTTCGCAGGGCTCTTGCTCGCGTCCACGCGGATCTCAAAAAGGTGCGACTCGGGGAAGATCACCTGCCAGGCGTACGGGTTCCGAAACGCCTCCTCTTTCATCATACTTGTTCGGAAGAACGTCGTGCCTTCTAGGTTGGCACTGACGTTCTGCACGAGTTCCGACCGACGGAAGTTGGTCTGGGCCTTGAAGATGGCATCCTTGTCCACTCCAATGGTGATGACGCCCGTGTCGCCATTGTAAAGGGGCGAGCGGCCTTCTTGCTTGACCGTAACGTAGTCAGAAGGCTGGCCGTTACTGTGGTTGCGCATCGTGAGAATGTGCGTCCAGTACTTCTCCTCAAGCGTGGCATCGGTGAGGTCGAATGCGCGGCCGCTCCACGGGAGCTTCTGTGCTTTGCCGTCAGCGGCAGTGGGGGCAGCGATGTAACCCGATGCGAACATCGCCATGCAGAAGATCTTTGACGAAAAGACCATGGTACTGCTTACTTGGTCGAGGGAGAGGTGGAGTGCGGTGGAAGAAGCGAATTGGACAATGAAGAGGAAGAGGTTGAGCGGTGGGGGATTGGGAATTGCCCGAGAGACCGGCTGGATGGATACCCGTCGTTTCTCGCGTGGCTTCCCATCTCTGTGGAAGTGCAGAGCAAAGTCGACACTACCGAGGTATCGATACGAACATAAAGTGGTTTGATTTTAAGAAGCCGGAGAGTTGCAAGACGATGGACGACACCCTCGCAATTGGACGAGTAGTCCCATCTTCATGATGGGATTGGCTTTGTAGAGGATACTTGGCTGGGAACATGATCCACGATACCATACGGTGTCGTGGCGGCGTCACGAGGATTGGCGTTCGTCCAGATGCTGCAATCGCTATTGAATCAATATTTTGTGTGCCAAATTGCGACAAGCGCATGAGAGACGCAGACCTCTGCATTAAATTGGTCCACTCAGGACGACACGATTATCCGACTCACATTTGGTTGGCATGAGTAAGTAAGGTGTTCACGCTGTAGGCTGTCGATGAAGTCTCTGTATTCCAGATAGCTCTTGCATGCAGACTGCAATGCTGGAAATGGCCATTATCGTGGACAAGTGAACGCCAGTTGATGCTTGACAATCTACGAGAAGATTAATGTCTCAGTCACCACCGCACTTCGTCAGATGGCATGGTACCGTGATAGGATAACAAATGGGCGACGCACAGGCAGCGACAAGTTTCATTTCGTAGTAGCAATCTGACGATCGCCTACTGTGCCTTAGTGCCGTATGGTGAGAGTAGAGCTGGTCAAGTAGCCAGCCAGTCCACGTACAGTCGTCCCTCCAATAAGTTATGGGACGGTGGACGACCGTCACCATGACTTAGCAGAGGTTAAAACTTACTGATTTTTGTGGATCGCACAGAGGAAAATCAATCAATTGAGTGATCGAAAAGCGGACATAGGCACTCAAGCCAACCCCTCACCTCCCGTAAGCCCAAGCCAAAATCCATTTCTAAGGCATCACCGCTGGCACAGTACAAAATTCTCAGGCTCTTGGCTAGTTTGTTACCTTTCTATCGATTTGAGACGCACCCATAGCTTATTTTGTCTGAGCTAGCAATAATTACACAAGGAAAGCCACATTTGTACATTTTTTAACCGTGGCTTGCCTGTTCGATACGGGGTACCCTTTGTTTGGGGTGCCACGAAACTTCACGTACACTAGTACGTGCAGAGGAAGCTGATTGATTTAAATGACTCGTTTTAGTAAGGGCAAAAAGAGAACTGTATTTGATATCGTTAAGCTATCAATATAACTTCAGTCTTTATCTAACTATGCTAATCTACATTGTCGTATGACGACAACCTGCTCACCACTCATAACGCGCGTCTAGCAGCGATTGGTGGTAACCTTAGTTAGTATGTCTTTATCAACCAATCTGTAAGCAGCGCCTAAACCTATACTTATCCTACAAAGGGGATAACATTGGTAGGGAATTGTCACGGTAGACAATCTCCCTATTGAAACTGTTTGGTGTCAATATCATGCAAGGGCTACCCCGTTACATCAATCCCCCCTTAAGCATCAACCACCCGTTTCTTAAATTTAACTGATTAAGACACGGTGACCATCGTTGGGTCACTCTGGGAAGGGAGCACTTGTTGCTCAAATTCCAACTCAAACCCAATTCAAATCGCATGGTGTCAAAGTCCATGCGATGTGCTGCCGAAGCAGCACGAAAAGCGGTTGCACGCATGCTTGCAGACGAAGAGAGTTCTTCTCTTGCTTCAGCAGCAGGTGATCCTTCGCCTGCTGTTGCGATTCAGCAACAGGCAGTGCCTGTTGTGAACAGTCCACTTGTGAGTCACCACGTGCGACAGATACATCCGCTGCGTCTGCAGCGGGTGCTGCAAATCGCAATGTAGATGAGCCTGAAATAGAGCTCATCTATTCTGGCGAGTCGGATGATGCATCCGAATCGAAGGCGACATCTCACGCCTCCGGATCATCCGGGGCGGACACTGCAAGATCCAGGTTGACTGGCTATGGGGAACGTGGCGGCATCATGTCCGTGATGCTCTTATGCATCACCACGAGAGAAGTAGCTCAAAAGATCGAGCTGCCACTAGTGTCAGTGCTCATTCTGACAACACACAAGAGGACAGGGACGGAAATGTCCTGCGCCACGCTCCTTAAGTGGAGTCTCCTTGGATGCCGTCATCTAAAGAGTTATATCATGTGGCCGGCATGACTACCGATCAAGATCGAATCCCGTTGTTCAACTGTAGGAGGATCTGTCCTCCTAATACCAGCACAGAAACTATCCGTGATGAGGAATAATTCTTCACCGAAGCGTTTTTCAAACATCGGTGGTACAGCGGCAACCATAATCGAGACAGCAAGGTCTTGGTGCAAGGATGGAAAGCCTTCATTCATGACATCGAGTGCATTGGCCGTGAGGCCTGGCTCGCCAAACTTGATGCAGCGCGCATCAGGTTTGAGAAGTGCAACCCATTCGGTGTGCGATACAAGTTGCACCGACTGTCAAGAGATGCAGGATCACCCTGTCTATCGTGGGGTGATTCGTGCCCAAGTTTCCTGGAAAACTCGAATCGTGACCCTATGAGGCCTACCTCCCTAATGTTATCTACAGGAGGGCTCGCATCTCTTCTGAGATGGCCGAAGAGATTGATGCTTTGCTATCCCTGTACTCGCGTTCGGGGTGGTCGTTTTCCGACGGCCCTTCTTCGAAAGCAGCAAATAGGTCTCGTCATACTGCTCGACGAGACCCAGGACAGCAACAATCAGCTGGGCAAGAGGCTCCCAGATGTCCCACGCCAGTGGATAGCCACGCCAGCGGACGAGGTAAATCGCTCGGACTACATTCATGTCGTGGTGGCTCCAAATACGCTATAATAAAAAGCGTTGACCACCGCCTGAGTCCACCAAAGGATGTGGTGGTGGCAGGAACACCTGATCTGGCTCGAGGGTTGGATCAACTTGATGTTTAGGAGCTGAACCGTGTAATAGTACAGTTGCAAGATGACTTGGCTCATGAACAGACTCGGCGCTACGAGCTCCATGATCTTGTAAAGAATAATTACAATGCCTAAGCGCACGATCGCTCGAACGATCGTGCTGCGTTTGCGTTTGCCCAACTTGAGAACGAACGTTCAGTTCGTTCTCTTCGTGACGAGATGACTGTAGCTCGTCAGGACATCGCTCAACTGCCTGAGCAGGTCGCTTCGCTAATCGACCAGACTGACTCTATTAAAACGGAAAAACTTGAGGGTGGTCTCGGCCCTTGATCACGTAGGTGTTCCACGCCTCTCGAAACGGGCTCGTACTGATAGTTAGGGTGGAAATGTTTAACCAAAACCTAAGATGCGTAGGCATCCCACAAGGCAGTTCAATTGTGCATGCGTTGCCCATTCGGCGCAAAACACGAAATGGACCGATGTACCTGGGCAGTAACTTACTGCTGCCCACGTTTGTCACTGCGTGCTTCGGTAAGTTTACTGTAGACAGTAAAACTAGGTCTCCTATATCAAATTAAAGAACATTTGATCTTCCATATTTGTCTGCATTTCTCTTCTGTCTGTCTAACGCATCTGCAATAGAGTCTTGAACGAAGCGGACAACCGCTTCGTGAGTCAGCAGAAATTCTTCTGCTAATTCATCCTTGTTAACAGCAGTGTGCTTCATGTACACTGCTGAAATAACTTGTCTGCGCCAGTGAGGGCGATGAAGCCCCCACTGTGGCCTTTGTTGGTAATGCTGCGTATGCCAGCATCGTCGTCGTCATCGTCATCGTTGTCGATGTGATTGACTCCCATCAAGTCGACACCATTGTCGACGTGTGATGAGCATGAACCGGATCGGTTTTCGTTCGAGCGAGTCCACCCTCCCTTAAACTAGAGTCACACTCTAAGAATGCAGGTAGACGTGGATGGCGTAGACCATACTCGAAGAACGGTGTATGCGTTGTCGACGCATGCACCGAGTTGTCGATGGAAAATTCCGCAATCAGCAAGATTTTACTTCAACTTGTAAATGAGTGGACGTACCCTCGAGTATCTCTTCGAAGACGCGGTTGACGCGTTCCGTCTGACTATCAATTTCTGGATGGTCAGAAGTCGACATCGTCAAACGTGTTTCAAGTGAACGGAACACGGATTGCCAGAACTCCACCGTAAAGCGAGGGTCCCTATCAGACACGAGTTCACGGGTTAACCCGTGAAGTCGAAAGATACTATCGATGAAGACACGAGTACAGCCCTGGGCTGTGATTACTTCTGTCAAGCAACAATATGCACCATCTTGCTGAACCAATCAACAAACACAAGAATGTTAATATTATCATGAGCGTCTTTAAGAAACCCAAAGACGAAGTCATCGATACGGACTGCCAACACTCTGCTGGAATCGGTAGCGGCTGCAAGGGTGCGCGGGATGAAGGACTAGGCTTCACCCGTTGACAAACTTCGCAAGCGCGAATTTATTTGCGCATAGACTCAGACTGGCAAGGCCAGTAGAAGTCACGACTTACCATAAGGTAAGTGTTTGTCTACCGCGATGCCCACTTGTTGAGCATCGTGACACCCATACATGATGCACAATCCGAAATTATCATTAGCGGGAACGACGACACGAGGCGTGTCGCCAGTGACTGCTTTATAGTACAGCATTCCATCACGAACCGAATACCGTTTGGCTAAAGAGCGGTATTGAGGCGTCAAGATTTTCAAAGCTTGACGGCATGATTTAGACACGTAATCCATTAATTGCAGAAGAGACTCATCTTTTGCTTATGATTTCCGCTCGTCGTCGAGCAGATTCGACGACGGAACACCCTTTGGTAGTGTTGCAACAGTGGTATCAACCCTACTGTTGGTTTGAGCAGTCGTCTTTAAATCGGGCCGGCGCGAAAGAGCATCAGCGACGACATTAAGTCGTCCTGGTTTATACTCGACTGAGAAGTTGTTCTCCGCGACGAA